TAAATACGGTATTTTCATTAACGTAGATGAGAATACGTGGGTTACTTGACTGTGACACTGCATGCTCTAACATTTGCTGCATAATGAATTATTTAAATGTTAGTTGCATTTTACTTACATATAAATCCATTGTTGAAATTTAAGAAGAGCTAATTGATAAATATTTATATATATTAGAAATGACTAAAACTTTATACGAAAATTTTAAATTATTATTTTTGTTTTTGTCGGTAACGTTGTCAGGTTGGTTTCAATATATTGAGATTGTTCTGTATTTGATTTTAACGGTTTAGAAAATTTTTAAAGTAAATTGATATGCTTTTAATAATTGTAACAAAATTTATTGATTCAGTATTGTAATTATCGTGGGCTTTGAAAGGAAATATTCTTTCACATTGCTATTCAGATGTTTCTGTCCTTTCATGAATCAATGCTTCTTCGGGCAGGCAAGAGGATAATGCTCTATTGTTTGATAATAATTCTCTAACATTGCTTAAGCTTCGCATAATTTTTCTGGCCAAGCACAAAATAATCAATTCTACTGCCGCAATTTTTTGGCAAATATCGTCAGTCCTGCATTGTTGACTTTAAAAATGACACGGATATTTTTATTTTGGCAATTTACACTGATGTAATTGTTTATTATGCTTGGTCATATTAAATTAGGGGCTCTTTCATAAAGGACGCATTTTCCAACAGAACAATTTTCTTGCAGACGTTCATCCTAGCTTAGAGTACTAACAACACTATTCAGTATTACATTCTATGAAAAATGTTCGTTTATACAATGGCAAAACTTATTTAAATAAAATTTTTGTAAAACTAATGTTCAGAGGATATTGGAGCTTAATTTTTGTAAAACATTTTTGTTGCTGTTGTGAATGACTTAAGTGTGATGTTGATGTACAGGTTGTAACTGAAAGTTGTGGACAAACTTTGAGCGCAAGTTCTACATATCAAAACAGGACAGAATATGCATATCAACATATGTCCGGAAACATTTAATTTGTGAATTAGAACTGAAGAAGTACTTCGTGATACTGATGGACTCCGGGATACGTCTCATCATGGACAGCCGCATCCGTTCAAAGATGACGGTGCAGTTGCGGATAGTCTGACAGGCATCCACACTGCGATGAAATGCCTATTTGTTGTCAACAGGAGCTGCATACACAAGGGTCTTTAGGTGCCCCAGAGGTAAACATCCAGAGGATTCAAGTCAGGTGAACGTGGAGGCCATGCAGTGGGTCAATTTGTACCTGTCCATCCGTCATGATAGGAGTTACTGAAAACATTTCACACAGCACGGAGCACCATCATGCATGCACCACATTCGCGCTCTGACTTCCAGTGGTACATCTCCCAGTATGTTTAGCAGATTGTGTAAGAGGAAATCTCGGCAGTGGTTGCCTGTAAGCCGTTGTGGTGAAACATGGGGGTCTACCAAAAAATCACCAACAATCCGTGTTAATACATTAATGCTGAACTGTTGCTGGTGTCCAAAATGGTTTGCATCATGAGGAGTCTCCTCTGCCCACTGGTGGTGGTTGTGAATATTAGTGATGACGTCACTACCGGAAGTGGCTCATATGTAAAAAGCGCTGATGAAACAAAGAAATGGCCAACACTTCGCTTAACAAAAAACGAAAGAACAACGACCGATTAGACCATAACGTTATTCGTTGAGGTATAATTCACACATTAATATTTCCGGACACATATTGACATGGAGAGTTGTTATTTTGATGTGTGAAACTTATGCCTAATGATCTTGGAAATCTTTCAGTTACATCCTGTATACTTACTAGAACATCTCCCTTATTTTATCTTCAGACAACATATTGCTGTCGAAATACATTTCTGTTACAACATTAAATTAAACCAGTTGACGGAGAACTGTTATCTGTTGATATAAATAACAAAGCCATAAGTAACATATCATAGCGTTATGGGAGTTCCATTTTTGCTAACTGATAAAATTTGGTTTAGAAAATTTTACTTTATACAAGCCGAATCGAAATAGCGATTAATGAAATATGTAAATTGTAACTCGAGGAGTTTAAATTTGGATACCAGTTAAATACCCACAAGACTCACCATGCAGTGACATAAGCATTTCAAGTTTGTGTTTTCTTGTCTAGTCTCCGGCTGAAGGTGGGGAGTTCTACCGTCGAATAAAATAATGCCCTGAATATGAAGCATTATTAATTAAATGATAAATTCATAATTTTGGGAACTTGTCGCCATGAAATGGAGTTAATTAATAAAACAAGTTTTTACCTTCATCTTACTCACAACTTTTGCTACATGTCTTCATAAGTTGTATTGCTTTTACTATAGTAATTAGCCAGCTCCATCAATACCTTTTCATGTATTGAAGTCTGCAAGGGGAAATGGGTCCTTTAAGAGGCTTATGTATGTACGGAATTATGTGTATTTTATTTAACTTGATATAAGTATCTAATACATATATAATTTTTCTGTCTTTGCTATATAATTACTGTGCTTAATTATGTATTGTACATTCCATGTTGCATTGCGACTAACGCCTCTTCTGCATCGCATATTGTTAACACTAAGGCGGCAATAATCCTGCGAGTATCCTTAACTGTCCTTCACTAGTAATGCTTCATCCGAATTGATATATTATTAAAGGATTATTTCAGATGATAGAATCAATCAAAATTTATTGTAAACTAAATTTCATAGGCTCTTTATATATGAATATAACGAATTTCGATTGATCTGATCACTATCAGGAACACTGTAATTCATAAATACATAATTGTTTCAATATAATACAAAATATTTACTGACCTTTGTTTCATTCTGAGTAAGAGAACGAAAAATTTTTGGAACAGAAATAATAGAATCGATTCCACTTGTGAAATATAGCTTCATAATGCTTTTCCCAGAATATGAATTTTTATTATACTTACGGCGCTGAGCCCTTCTGGAGGAGCCGCCAATTCTGCAGCTACTCAAGAATTTCCCAGCATTTTAGGGAACCCGAAGGTTCATTACCGTGTTCACAAGAGCCCTCCACTGGTCCCTATCCTGAGCCAGATCAATCCAGTCCATACAACCCCATCATATCTCTCTAAGATCCATTTTAATATTGTCCACCCACAATCGCCTTGGTCTTCCCAGGTGTCTCTTTCCTTCCAGCTTTCCCAGCAATATCCTATATGCATTTCTTTTCTCCCCTATTCGTGTTACATGCCCTGCCCATTTCGAATTTTTATTATAAAGATTTAAATTCACAATTTCTTCACCATTTTGTTAGTAATATTTAATCTCTTCGCATCATTTCTTGTTATAACCTAAGTAATCTTCCATATCATGAGTAAGCTGCCAGGATTTAAGTAGTACATAGTAAGAAAACGGTTAGTTCTCAAGTAGACCTACACAAAACGTCCCTTTTCAACACTAAGAAGACTTTCGGAAGATACCGGTGACGTCAGATCCCCCTTCCTGACTCCCTGCGCATGAGCTGGGCGCTTGCTGAGCAATTGCTTCTTTGTCTCACAGACATGTGTTTTTTGACGGATAACATCTATGATTACTACAACGTCTCTCAGGGTAAGATCACCATTCCCAATGTGGACGACGGTGAAGAATTTCAGTTGACTGATGTAAGTAAGACCGAGACACTACACACACCCGCTGTGACACATTTCTTCATATAGAATTTAGCTAAGAAAAATAGTGATTCTGGTACGTTATTTCAAGCTACAAACCTCAGAATTCGTGGCAAATTAAGATCTTTCTATATACTTCGTGGCGAATCTAGGGTGTCTTTCCACGAATTACGTTATGCAACGAAGTTATTGTTTTCCTAATTATAATCTCAAAGAGTCTGCTACGTGCGTGTAATCCCTCGGCCCTACTTTTCAGATATTATAATTTTCTTTTATTATGAATACGAAAGCTTTATGCATAATGGAAAAGGAATTTTATTTTTAATTTTTTATTCTCCAACCTGTTGTATTTTATATCTTTCACGTTCTACAAATCTGAAAAAAAAAATTATATAAGGTTTGAGGTTTTCACGGCGGTGACTATGAAGAAAGCAGTCTTCTGGGATGTAGCGCCGTGTAGATATTGTGTTAACCGACGTTTCGGAGGAACGTATCGCCTCCATCTTCAGGGTAGAAGACCAGTCTGTTGCACCTGCTCACGCTGGTTCGCTCGTGGATTTCTTATTTTCTTCTACCCTGAAGATGGAGGCGGTACGTTCCTCCGAAACGTGGTTAACATAGTATCTACAAGGCGCCACATCCCAGAGGACTACTTTCTTCAGAACTAAATTTTCTTGACAATAACTTAGTTGTAGTTGCTTAAAATTTAATAAATACACTTTCATGTAATTTAACCCTTGATTCATGCTTTCCGCTAAGCATATCGCTACGTTTGTTTATACGTCTTCTCCATGATTTTCATTGAAAGATTAAAATAATGGATTGCTATCATTTTACTAAAATTTAAATATTAACCCCACAGAGAATTAATAAATGAATCTAAATTACAGGTACATTAATATTATTGGGACGTGCATCATAATGTCAGTCTTATGAAAACCCCGTAACAGTTTCATGGAAATAAATTCGGGCACGTCTTCTTCTTATTTCTATCAGACAGATAAATTAACAATACACTCAGCGTGAGATATCTAGACACTGTAGTTTCGTCATTGTTGCAAACCATCATATTCTGTGTCTTATTCTTCAAGTCATATGTCAGATCATTGTTGAAAAGATTGTACTGTAATATTGAAGATTACTTTGTTGTTGTGGTATGGTTATAAAATAACGTGCTTCTTTATTCTTGAAGTGGGCCAAAAATACACTAATAGTTGCTACAACGTAATAAGTTACCATCCCCAATCTAAACCAGTAAAAGACGCGTTTTATTTTTCGCAACAAATGCTGCCTAAGAGGTCCCTTGATATCACGTGTGAATGCAGTTGCATGTATCCAAGACGCACATAAATATAAATGTAAGTGCTATTCATCTCAAAATTATGCTTCTTTAATATTTAATATGCTGAATTCTTCTTTGACCAAGATTAATATCTTTCTGTCCTTCAGTGAATAAGACATGATCTTTATTCTTATGTTATATATATATATTTATGGAGTGTGTCTTGATAAATCTGTTGGACTGTAAATGCCTGTTATTTTCTTTGTTGTATAGCTGTTAATGTTTTAACCATCGTTAACTTAAATGCTTTTATATTATATAAGCCAAAATTTTTTGTCATTTTTTGTACTGTTCAAATACACAAGTTGCTATGTAATTGTTTCCAAAATTAGTATTAGATTTTCATAAATCTAAAAATATATTATTTAAACCAATTAAAAATAAAGTTACTTGTAAATTTAACAAATATCATAATACAGATTTCGTATTCTGCTCTAGAAACTGTCACCAACATATATTATGTTTGTGTAACGCAAACTTTTATCCATATAGCAAGCCTTCGATGTGCTGGGTTTCACACAAGAAGAAAAGGACAATGTATACAAAATAACGGCCTCTGTGATGCACATGGGCGGCATGAAGTTCAAACAGAGAGGCCGAGAGGAGCAGGCTGAGGCAGATGGAGTAGAGGTATGAGTTCTAATTCCCTCCTTCATAACTAAACTCTGCGTTTCAAGAGAAACGGGTACATATTAGAATACAACTCATAACAAGTCCGTTACAACACAAACAATACAGTGTTCAAGGCTAAATTAGCTTTGTTACATGTTTTGGCTCTTCATAGTCATCATCAGGCAAATGCACGATCATGTTTACACGCTAGTGACTTGCAATTGTGTAGTAAGTCTGGATACTTGGCAATTATCATATTATAAAACACATGGTATAAATTACAATGAAATAAAACTTATTACAAAACAAGAGTTATTTCGTAAAATATATTGTTTTGTGTTGTGACGGACTTGATAAAAAGTTGTATATAATAACATAACAGGATGCATGAATTGAAAATTACATATTAGAAGCTTATCAGCAGTGTAAATTATCTTAGTACTTAATTACGTCATTGAATTGGAGGAGATGTGTATTAATGATATAAAAGTAAATCGATTTTCACATTATCCATTTAACAGTGGTAATTTCGTCATAAACTTATCTAATTTTTCCGTAACACCACAGATGTAGACACCATTCTGTTTTCACACTTACTCTGCTATTTACGAAATGATGCGCCTTCTGAACTGTGCAGAACATGGTCATGTTATTACGCTTCTAGAGGAGTCTACCCATGGCATGTTGAACTTTGGGATATCGAGTTTCTGGATTTGTTCATTATCTAGTATTCTGGAGGAATACAACGTTTCGGAAAATGAATCTGTTTCCATCCTCAGATGATAACTTGTTTTGAGCTGGTTCTCTTATAAGGAGTTGCTTTCGTTCACAAGTAAGATCAGATATTTCTAACGGACCCATCTGAAAACTTGTCTCCTCACATTTTCACATGACGAAGTAAACAGATTCAGTTTCCGAAACGGTGTGTAGTTTCTGATTACTGAGCGGTTGGACAGAGTTAAGGAACTCAGTAATCCCGAATTGGGATATTCGAATCCCCACTTTGCACCTTGTAAAATAAGTGAAAATTTCGTACTACGGTAAATTTGAAACCTCTAACGAGATTCCTGTATAAATTAATGACTGACAGATAATCACGGTGAAAATAATTTTCAGTGTCTATATTTACTACAGATTCCGTGAAAACCTTTCCTCCATGGCGAAAACCACCCGCTGAACTTCCGACGACATATCTTCGAACTAGTAGCAAGCGGAAAATATTTTAGCACTCTTCTGTCACTGAAATGTAGTAACACATTTTATATAAATTTTTATATCCAGTGTTTTCAGTTCTGTAGATCAAATATCAAGTTTCAGTTAATCATTATATGGGGTTGTTTTAGACCCAAAATAATAAAGGATATAATTATACAATAAAGTGAAAAATTGTAGCAAATTTTAATTTTTCACTGTGTGATTTTATCCATCTTCTCTTTGGCACCATAGGAAGGTACAAAGGTAGCTAAGCTGCTGGGAACTGATCCCGAGGAACTTTACAAGAACTTCCTGAAGCCCAAGATCAAGGTCGGCAATGAATTTGTGACCCAGGGTAGGAACAAGGATCAGGTAAGCGCCATCCAAATGTTGACAAAATATACACTCACTCACTCACTCACTCATGGCGCTGAGACCTTCTTGAGAAGCCGCCAGTTGTGCAGCTATTGAAGAATTTCCCAGCATTTTATGGAAACCGAAGGTTCATTACCGTGTTCACAAGAGCCCTCTACTGATCCCTATCCTGAACCATATCAATCCTATCCATAATAACCCATCCTATCTCTCTAAGATCCATTTTAATATTGTAATATTAAAATGTGGAGGGCTCTTGTGGACACGGTAATGAACGTTCGGTCTCCATAAAATGCTGGGAAATTCTTGAGTAGCTGCAGAATTGACGGCTCCTCAAGAAGGGCTCAGCTCCGTGCGGAAGTAAGTAAGGTTTGAGGTTCTCACAACTGGGATATAGAGCTGTATAATCAGTTGAGAGAAAACTGACGTTTCGGAGGAACGTATCGCCTTCTACCCTGAATATTGAAGCTATATGTTCTTCCGAAACGTCAGTTGACTTAAACGGACTACAGGACGTTATGTTCCAGAATATAGTATTCTTATTTAAGACAAAACGGCAAAATGTATTTCTCGTACTTAATAGGTGAATAATATTCTAGGTCTATTACTCTGTGGGTGCCATGTCCAAGGCTATGTTCGATCGGACGTTCAAATGGCTGGTGAAGAAGTGTAACGAAACCCTGGACACAAAGCAGAAGAGGCAACATTTCATTGGTGTGCTGGATATCGCCGGCTTCGAGATTTTCGATGTAAGTGTTACAGTGATAATAACCTAAAAAAGTAACAGCCATTTAAGTAAATTTGAACAGTTCAGACAGTAAGTGTGTGAAAGCGACGTTAACATAGGGAAAAAATCATATTATAGTAAACTTCAGTAATTAAAAGTACTAAGTATATATATAAATATATTTTCATTGCATAAGATTCATTGTCATATTATGACACGGAATAGATTTTTTCTATGAAATAAATATAAAGTTTTAATCAAATATATAGAATTCAAATAGGACAAATTTATTTTGAAATAATAATTAATTGGCCTATATAATTTCTGAACGTGTAAATATTTAAGGATTTAAAATGACAAACAAGCAATCATAGAATCTGAGACAGGTTTTTTTTTTTTATTTACAATAACCTTCGTTGCAACATAACAACTGCATTTGGTTTTCAGGTTTCAGATTCTCTTCAGAGGTTTCCATGAACGACCTGTGGACTACAATTTTCTTGTTCTTATGTTGTGATCTTGCACCTTACAATTTTGAAATCTGGAATGCTCTGTCCCAAAATTAATTAAAACGTTTAATTTATTTCAGGAGTCATTGCAGATGGAAGTGCTTGCATACTTGAACATAAAGTTTGATATACGAGTGCATAACTGTGGAGTATTGCAATGTTGGCTTATCTAAGAAGATAGACTTTCATCCTGGTTACTATATTTGCAGGTTTTATTTGTTTGATAACTCGTTCTACTTTCCAGGTGCTGTGAAGTGTGTCTTACATTCCTAACAGATGTATCTTCGACAATCCTTTTAAAATATTGCTGATATATATTTTATATTTAGTAATAACATATAATTTCTTTCATTTACCTCAGTCATGTTTATCACAACTACATGTATTTTATATTTAAAAAGGCTGGTTGCATTTTGCAATTAAACTTTGCGTATCACATGTTATGATATATATTTGAAGCTTAAGTTCTAAAAGGATTTTTAAGTTTACCTACCTGAGTGAGGATATGCTTAATTTTCACTATCCAGTATTTTGCTGCTGTAAAAGATATAACTTAATGTACATTAGCGTACTTATTTTGGACAGTACGTGAATTTTGTTGTTGATATAGTGTAGACTAATTCTATGCCTCTGTGCATTTGTAGTATTATAAAAATTCCAAACGACGGAGGTGCGTTATATACCATAATAACGCAAATAATTTATAATACTTTGTCCCTACTAAATTCTCATGAAGTTAGAACCCGATCCTAAGTGACGGTATTAAAACGGGCATAATTTACTTTTTAATTGTTGTTAATTTGTTTTGTAATTACAAGCATGTCCCTACATATTGTTTAAGACAAATCAATTGCAACAAATTGTAGGATATAAGAACAAATGAAAGACAGTGTTCCTAAATGTGGTTTGGGTAACTTGTAATTATTAATTTTATGTAGACCAAACACAACATTAATATACTAATCTGATAACTTCGTTTTCGTAAATGCAAAAAACAGAACAAGACAACGTAGACATAAAATGTATTAACACGTGATTTCTTGTGAGATTCACAGCCCCATAAATATTTTGCAGTAAGTATAATGTTGTAGTAACCTAATCTAACTGTTGCAGTAGATGTATAACACAAACTAATGTTGTAGTTCAACAGCTTCGAGCAACTGTGTATCAACTTCACCAACGAGAAGTTGCAACAGTTCTTCAATCATCATATGTTTGTGCTTGAGCAAGAAGAATACAAGAAAGAAGGCATTGACTGGGCTTTCATTGACTTTGGCATGGACTTACTGGCTTGCATTGAACTCATTGAGAAGGTAGAATAGAATAAACTACCAACTAGGGTAAACTGGGAAATTAAAATTTCAGGATGATAACTGTGTCTTCAGGAATTTGAATTATACAGAATGCTGGATAGAATCAATAATTCTGAGAACCAGTTGCACGGGAATTAGCGAATTGTCTCTCTCCAGCGCCAGAAATTAAAGTTCTAAAAGTAGATTTAATATTTTAGTTGTATATGTTATGCTTATGCTTAGTTAACGATTCCTTACAGCAAGGTAGGTAACATTTATAAATTTAAATGCAAAAGCCTAGCTCAGTTAACTTATAATATTGCATATAATGCGGACTGCTTTATTGGCCGCAGCTGTTAACGCAACATCTACTTTTGCCAGCCGCCATCACGAGATTGCAGCTTATGCAAACACAGCAATTAATAACTGCCACTTTTAATGCAAACTTTTACTTATTTCTTCTGTGCAAAAAATTTCAGAATGCCGCTGCAGTAATGCCGATTGTCAGTCTTCGAATTATGTGTGTGATATATGTTTGCTTTTAAGCTATTTTGCTTCGACGTACTACTGGTGCTTAAAGAGTAATCAAACCACTCAAATTTCTGCTTCAGCTTTATTTGCAAACTAATCTGTAATCCTTTGGCTTCCTGTTTCTAATATGTTTACGAAATATAGTACAATGGCTTCGAGCAACTGTGTATCAACTTCACAAATGAGAAACTTCAACAGTTCTTCAATCATCATATGTTTGTGCTGGAACAAGAAGAATACAAGAAAGAAGGAATCGATTGGGCTTTCATTGACTTTGGCATGGATTTACTGGCTTGCATTGAACTCATTGAGAAGGTAGACTAAGTAGAAACATTTCGAAATAGGAGGAATAAAACGAAGGTGAACACTCACCTTCATAGGATAAATATCTCTTATGATCCTGCCTTAGATAAATTAGAATCATTCCTTCTTAGCCTCAGGAATAAGAGTAGGGTTTTCCATTAAACGTATTGTAATTGAGTCGCTCTTCCATTGTCTTTTAATTAACTCCTTGAACATAGGCTGTGTAGAACAAAGGTAGGGGAAATTCTCAATGCATCCATGCTTATTGTCTTAACAAGGCAAATAACTGCATCAGTTATATTAAAACTAATTTTTATGGAATGCTTTCTTCAGGCTGAGCAACGATTGCATTTCTAACCAGTTCTTCCAGTATGCTGACCAACGGACACGAATATTTTTAACCCTGACTCTAATATTAATCTATATTTTAATTTTCAGATTTCTTTTACCGAATTAATTTAGTTTTGTTAAATTTTAGCCACGTAATTTTGCTTATTTTTGCAAACTGAAAGGTTTTAATGGGCTTGTTTATTTGTTGTTTATTTATTTTAAGGCTTCTTCACGCTTGTGTTATAGTTAACATGTTCTATTTTAGCTTTTGCCTAATTTTATTTTATGTTCTTCTGACATGCTTTGGCTGAGTCTCTTATACTTATTAGTGTCTACACTGCTCACTGGAATTTCATGTTTTTCTTTGCATTTAATTTCATGCTTTAGAGTAATTTAATTTATAAACTTTTACTCCATGTTGCTTTCATTTTTAGTTTCTGTTATTTATTTGTTTCCGCTGTATTGACTACTGCCTTATATTATTATAATACAGTGCGTACAATCAAGTGCGCGCCGCGGCTGCAATTTGCCGTNCATTGCACTGCTTTGCCTCTGATAATGGTGAACTAAAACAGTACAACGGCTACGAGCAGCTGTGCATCAACTTTGCCAACGAGAAACTTCAACAATTCTTCAACCACCACATGTTTGTGCTGGAACAGGAAGAATACAAGAAAGAAGGAATCAATTGGGCTTTCATTGACTTTGGCATGGACTTATTGGCTTGCATTGAACTCATTGAGAAGGTAGAATTAACAGAAGACTTGAGCTCCTGTGCTCAACGACACTAAACTTTTCTCTAAAACTGTGGCCTAGGGTTTAACAGTTTATCTTCAGAATATATATTACACAAACTCTGTAATAGAGTGATAATTTTTTTTTGTACAAATTGTTTAGAAATTATAGTAGATGCGAATATAATTTTAAAACACGCTTTGCCAGTGAGCGCTGAACGGAGTGCACTAACAAAACCTGTTTGTTTAATTTCATCATCTATAACGAAATTACATTTGTTAAACCCTGGGACATGCCGGGTAGTGTAGATATTAGATAATAGTAAGCTTTGTAAGCTCTACATCTGTGAACGCAAGGTAGGGGCAACAGGTTACTTCTTTGCCTGCTTCTCATAGCCCTGCATGTGTATGTTACCCCTTTACATCTCTTCAATGTACACAAATTCTGATATTTCCTTTTTCATCCTGTTTAGGGGTCGGAGATTGAAGATTGATTTAATGTCTGAAACTTGCCTGTTTTCACAGTGGAGATATTTTCCCCTCTAGCCTGAGCCGATTCCTATGTACCGTAACTTGAACAGGCATCTGAACTTGCACTCCGTGAATACTGTATTCCATATGCAACCAAGTTACAACGTGTTGTAATGTTACTCCGTTATTGACTGATATCCTCTTTTTCCGCCGAAACCTGTGATATTGTACATTTTATCAATTTAATTTTGTCTTGTTATCTTTATTGGTGCCAATGCTGCTTGAGTTTTCTGCCCTTGAAACCCCGACAAAATATTTTTTCTGCAATTTAAACTAATGCATCACCCTTACCCCGCATGTACCCCCCTTCCCCTCCGAATTGATTTGGGTATATAGTTCAATGGCTTCGAGCAACTGTGCATCAACTTCACTAACGAGAAACTTCAACAGTTCTTCAATCATCATATGTTTGTGCTGGAACAAGAAGAATACAAGAAAGAAGGAATCGATTGGGCTTTCATTGACTTTGGCATGGACTTACTGGCTTGCATTGAACTCATTGAGAAGGTAACCCAAAATTGTCCTCCACCTTCAGTGTCACTTTGAACACGAAGAAATATTCCAGCTGAGCTCCAGAGTATTTGCCCCCAAGCCTGTTACATCCCCATGAATGATTCTATTTCTCATTATCTTCTTTACCTTTGTTTAATTTTCTGTGATTGTTTTTCAGTGTTGTGAAAGCCACCCCCCAGCAGGAACACGCGGGGCTGTTTTCTCTTAATAGACATAAGAATCCTTGTATTTGCGTATGGTTAAGAGGAAAATGGATATGGAGTCGTCCACCACAGACAACAGAAACATGATGATCTCTGAAATAGAGAAGTTTTAATGTAAAAGTATAAAACACGATTAATTATATATTACACTCAACTGAGTAAATATCATTTAAAAATAAATCAAGTTTACGAATGGAATTACTGTCATAGAATACTGGTACGACTTCGAATATATCATTTACCCTCTCTGCCATCGCTTGTAGTTGTTCTCTTGTTTTAGTGCTTGCGCGTGCGCGTGTGTGAGATTGCACCACTTCTGGATGTCTCTGTATTAGCACACCCCGGTGAAACTCTGGAAAGTTTGCAGGGGCATTATTAGTTTCATTTCTGTTAAGATGGATGCTGGTGTGTGCGTGTGGGGTTTGTCCATCTATTTCTAACATGTTATGCATCCCTTATTGCTCGACCTTCGAACAGTTCAACAGCTTCGAGCAGCTGTGTATCAACTTCACGAACGAGAAACTACAGCAGTTCTTCAACCATCACATGTTCGTGTTGGAGCAGGAGGAATACAAGAGAGAAGGAATCGAGTGGACGTTCATTGATTTTGGCATGGACCTTCAAGCTTGCATAGATCTCATTGAGAAGGTAGACGACAATGGGAGTCCCTTGGGTCGTGGCTCATCCCAGAGTCTTCTTTAGGCTGACGGAGCGTTTTCACAATATTGACTTACAGTAGCGCAATAGAAATATGTTTATTGAATTAACTCACTCCAGTGGCGAATTGTGGATCATATCGAGTGTGTTATCAATATGCAACATGCATTTTAATATAAAGAATAATAAGGAACACAATTTAGATAAAAATGTGTAATGATAAACTTAATTAATTGCTTCAGTAAGGCTAAGTATTAAATATATTTGATTAGGTGGTGTATCATATCATGAAATAAATTTCAAATTATATTAGAAAAATTTATAACGGTAACCTCAGCTACTGTATGCACAATCTTGCTACAAAGAATAATATATCTCGAAAACTGTGTAGCTCCGTAAATGGAAACGAATCGCATTGGTTGTTAACGAAAATTCTGATACTGAGATTTGCAGAATAATAGCAAATTATTTTTTTATGAAAAGGATTATTAATATTATTTACATGACAATGTTATTCTGTTTAAATTTAAAAATTGTGCATTTTTTTGTGCCCCTGGATAAAAAAATCATCTGAGAAACAGTAGTGAATTTGCGTGTATCTCATTTTGAAATTATAACAGAAATATTTTGTAACCTTGGATATGGCCGCGCCATAGCTCAAGCGGTTAGTCACTGGCTTCCCACCGCGTCGGCCCGGTTTCGATCCCGGGTCAGGTCAAGTGGGATTTGTGGTGGAGAAAGTGGCACTGAGACGGGTTTTCTCCGAGTACTTCGGTTTCCCCTGCCAACCTTCATTCCACCAAATTCTCAATCATCATAATCACCCGGGGCAGGCTATAATAGGCCAATCAGTGGCCGCCGTGACGAGTGGACCCAGTTGGAATCCACACTCCACTAAACGAATTTAAAAATATAAAACCTTGGATATGATTGAAAGCCCTCTAACTTAAAATATTATTTTCAAACTTGACCCAAAGTATGATTTTTTATGTAGATTAATTACATTTCACTGAAATAGTAAGGTATTAATAACAGAAAACAATTATAACAGTGTATTGTATCTTCAAGAACTTCGCTCTTTGTTCTCGAAATGCACTGACGAATATCCTTCGTTTCAGAATATAGTAGGGTAAAGTTAGCCGGAGGCCCTCTCAAACTGGGCTGTCGTACCACTCCCTAATCATAGATTAACATCAGTGAAATGATAATTATCAGGATAGAGCCGAAGTCTTTTAGCACGACGATACTTCGGTTTAACGATTCTGGTAGTAGCTGTAAGCATATCAGTGAACACACTCTGTCTTTTGCTAATCTCTGATAGTTTTGTTTTTATTGCTGTGTTGAATTAACTTGTTTTTGAGTGGTGGCGGTACAGAAAAGGAATGGGCCCCTAGCCGCCGCCCACTCCATGGAGGCAGGTAAAATCAATGTCTGTGTGAATTATTAAAATGTGTGTGTAGCTCTGTTTCGTTGGTTTTGCTTTGTGGTTGTGATGTTCTTTCAGAATGTCTCGTCATTTCTGATGCGTGTACGTCAGCATTTGGGATATTGCCGCCTGTTTCTAGACTTCAGGCGGATATCTCGTGTGTCAGGGGTTTGTTATATTGGCTACAGACAAATGTACGTGCACATATTCTGCTACCATAAACTAAGACAAATGAGGAAAATATTTTTAACGTAAAATATTATTTTAAACGGGCATGCGGTAGCGTAGTTGGTTGAGGCACGATCCTACAACCCGGAAGGACGCGGGATCCAATCCCGATGAGGTGGATATTTTTCAATTTACCTAATCCTTCCAGCCGCACTATGGCCCTGGAGTCGACTCAGCCTCTAACAGAAATGAGTACCAGGAATATTCCTGGGGGTAAATGGCGGCCGGCGGGTAAGGCTGACAACCTCACCGCCATCTGTGAGCCGATTGTCTAGAAAATGTGGGAGCCTCAACATCTCACAACCCTATGGGCCTCCACGGCCAGTTACAGGGATAGCTGTACCTTATTATTTCAAACAGTATCTATATGTTAAATATTTCATAGATTTATAATTCTTTTTTTTTTGTTTAATTCTTAATTTGAATAATGATGCTATAGTTTATTTATTCATTTACTCATTTGACTGTGTTTTAAATAAATGGGCGTATTTGGGTTATTAAAATTTCTGAGAACTAAATTAGACCTATTCAAAATTAAGGCTGTTATAGTAGTATTATTTATAGTAATGTGCACTGTATTACTTCAATATCAAAGGCATTTTCTTTTTAATTATATATAACAGGTCTTGGTGGGAAATTTATATGTTTGTTTGTTTGTCTGTTACTTGTCTTTATGATTATGTTATAATGATTGCGACTTTATTACTGACAATATTTGGCATGGTTCCTAACAACCTACTATAACGATGAATAGCCTTGGGTTACTTGTCAGTGAACCTCCTTCTTGTGTGTGACGTGACGTCCCTGTGTTCCTCATCTGAAGTTGTCTGTGTGTTCCATCGCTTCCTTGTGTAACGCGGCCCAGATGAATGGCTTTAACCAGCTGTGTATCAATTTCACAAACGAGAAATTGCAGCAGTTTTTCAATCACCACATGTTTGTGCTCGAGCAAGAGGAATACGAGAGAGAAGGAATTGAATGGGTCTTCATAGATTTCGGTATGGACCTTCAGCCCACCATAAACCTCATTGAAAAGGTACCACAATCGAATTCATTTTAGTATGATTTGAGGATCTCATACCGGTGGTTATGAAGAATTCTATATTCTGCGATATAACGACTTGTAGTCCGTTAAAAGTCGTTTCAACGGGATACACGGCGTTACATCTTAGAAGATAAAAGTCTTCAAAACCTTCCGCACTCGCCATTAGCAGTATTTCAGCTACTCACTAATTATTTTTTAAATTTCGCGAAATGTATGCAAGTAGTAGTAATATTGATTGACTTTGTAGCATATTGTTGCCTTCTTTTCTGGCGGACGTCGCTAATAATGCTACTATACAATGCTAACGATTATGATTCTAATCTTCATGAACCATGGATTATTTAATGCCTTCCTCAGACCAGTAGAAATTGAAGATTTGAATGGAGTTCGTAGATTTATACCTTCTGTAATATGATTCAGTGTAGTCTGGTAGAAGTTTACAATATTCTCGGTGTGACATGCTGTCTCCATTTTCAGGGTATGAGACGGGGTAAACACGTTCTTCCGAAAAGTTGGTAAACTTCTACCAATCTTTATGGCGTCACATGGTACAAGAAAGTAACAGACAATTTTTTACCCTTTCAGTTACACATACATGCAGTATTAAATACATTTTGCTTCAAAACACAGCAAAAAGGAAACAACCAGACATCACAATGGTACAGAACCATGACAAACTTAAAGAGGGGGGGGATCACTGCGAGGACCTCTGAGGACTCAAATAACACCCCAATATTCCGTTTTAACAGAAGAAGCACAAGGACACAGACCATATCGGTTCAAGATCTTAGATATTAAACATTCATAAGATTTTAATCAAAATAATCGCAAATAAATTTTATATAAAATCTTCTAAGTACGTATTATATACTATATAATAGTAATTCCTGAACATGTTGATTTCATGCCTTCTGAAGAGAGTCAGCTGACTTGTAAAGGCAATAAATATCTACAAATTGAATCACACCGGACGGTGTAACAATTATTCTGTAATGTAGTTTACTAGTGTGACGGACCGGAATGAATCAAGTAAAGCAGTAATTTATTTGTTAACTGCGGACAGTATTTCACAGCTGTGTTATGAAGTAGTTCCGTAGTACGTCCACGTAACATACTAAACGTTCCTATCCAAAAATGTTGTAGCGAATGTATGTGGCAAATTCTCTGGCTGGCAACTCCATTCGGGGTTCTTTAAAGAACGCGCTATTGATCTAATATAACTCGCAGTTTCTCGTTCCTGCTACACTCCCATATTATCATGGAACCGAGATGCCTTGTCATATCAGTTTCACTTTGTTATAAAATTACCTGATACATTTTTGTAAACTCAAATATAGTTGATTCACTTACCAGAGATAAAAGATATATCAAGAATCTATTATTGCTCTGTCACCTCTGCACGTCATGTATTAACTACTACATGTTTCGGCTACGTTTTAGCCATTATCAGGAGTATTCAACTTTTTCTCTGATCTTACTGTGCTCCTTACATTGGCCAGTGTTTACAAAAACTGGATTGTTTATTTTCAGATTTTATGTTTTATATCATGTATATTTTTCATAAACTGAATGGTAAACCTATCCAATAGGCCAATAGGGTTGTGAGATGTCGAGGTTCCCACATTTTTTCCAAGCAATTGGCTCACATATGGCGGTGAGGTCAGTCTTAAGCGTCGGTCGCCCTTTACCCCCAGGAAGATTCCAGGTGCTGATATCCCAAGGATATAACGCAGCTGGAAGGATTAGATCAGTTAAAAAATCGAATGACCTCGGATATCCAACCAACTACAATATCGCGTATTATTAAGGTAAAAGGTAAAGTTGTACCTATGCTTAACTAATTAAGCACTGCGCCATGAAGGCGTATGGGGGAGTAGATGTATAGATCCACATTTTCTTGACCTCGACACTAGTTAGAGGTGAGTACAGCGTAGTATTACATTATCAAAGTTAAAGTTAAAATATTAACGGGTTAATATTAAAATATTAATATATATTGTGCCTCTAATTGCCGTATTCGGGAGATGTGGCGATATGCGTAGAACTAGGAGCCCAGAGGAAAATGTGAATGTAACAAAACTTGCATATACCTGATGATGGCCAGAAAGAGGGGCTGAAACATGAAGTAGTTAATATATGACGTATCGTGTAAATAAGCAGACATTCAATAAATTGTTTCACACATATGACGTTTGTAACACAAGATATTTATAATAATGTGATATGACGTAATTTTGGTTCCAACAAATATACCTATTTGTTTATATTTCTTAACTTTCAACTGCAGTGTGTTTTGTCCGTTTCTTTATGTGCTAATATCTACATAGTTCGTTACATACCTATACGTATTATGTACTTGTAAGTATATATAAGTATCTCTGCGGCCGAAAGTCAGCAGTCAGCGTTACCAAACGGTAAGTGTTTCCAGACCTACAATTTCTAAACAAACTTAGGATTGTAGATGTAGGCAGTAGCTGCATTAGTTCTAGCTAAGTACAGATGCATTATCCGAACAATTCGTATATTCACAATTGTTGTAATACCTAATGTTAAATATATATTTTAATAATACTAAATATGTAAAAAATTCATAATCATCTGCTTACATTTGACACCACTTTTAATAAGATTTTTTTTACTTCTAATACGGCGAGTAAATATTTTATTCTAAATTACGAAAAATGACGCCCTTGTTTGTAGTGCAATTATTTACACATATAAAATATTTACAGTTTCCATAATGATGATGATAATTCAATTAAATTCTTTATTATGTATGTGCCGAGTCAACGGCCGCAAGGCCAATTACAGACAGAGCACAGTGTAGATACAAGTAATTACATTATGGACAAACACAATGATAATAATAAAATCATGTATAGGGATCATGACCGGTATTCAACGGTCTTCCTCTCCGTACCACCCTGTTTCTATCAAACATCGCGTCTTAAAAAAAATGGCAAATATAAAGTGATCCTCTTCGGTAAATTTGCCCCGGTAAATTGTTAATATTGCTGTTACGTGCATGGATTCAAGTCCACTTAAATTCTTTCCGTATTATTTCCTCCATGACGACAATGTTAAGGAGCATTCACGTATTTCGTAGTAGCAACAGTAAAGAGACACGTTTGCACTATGCTCCACATGAGGTTCACAGCGGTGATTATGAATTGTTCTCTTTTCTAGGATATAACGTAGTATAAGCTGTTTAAGGTCGTCCAGAGCTTCGGTAGGACATCTCGCCCCGTCTTTAAAATCGAACAGTAAATCAAATGAGAAACCTACCTTCTTCAGGGTTGTTTCTTGCTTGTCTTATTGTTGGACCATGATTTTTTCTACTCGGTCATTACAGTGCACTTATAATACATATTTTATTTGACTCCTCGAAGAATTATCCGAGATTCTGCGTCTGTTTTGGAGTAGCATAGAAATATATGCTGCTTGTAGACGTGTTGGTTAAACGATGACATATATAATGAAAATTTCAAAATGCTTATGTAATTCGTGGCATGCTACATGTCCTTATTACCCGTTACATAAACTTAGTAGTATTTTAAAGTAAAAATGTATTTTATTCATATATGCTGCTTTGTAGTATCTTAGAATATAGAAGATTTCGTAATAACAGTAAATTCAGTAAAGTAAAGAAATTTAATCTTTATTGCATAATTGAATATTAAATTAAAATAAGTTTGTTTTCAACTATAATTGCAGTTTAAAATTAAAAACTGAAGAAATATTATGTATGCATAAAAATATTTGTGTAGTAGTAAAATTATAATGTGAATTTGGCTTAAAAATAAATATTGTTATACTGGTTCACATAAACTCTTTGTCACTTCACAACGTTAATACTAATACATTGTATTTACAGCCTATGGGTATCCTGTCAATCCTTGAGGAAGAGTCTATGTTCCCTAAGGCTACTGACAAGACCTTTGAGGAAAAGCTGATGAACAACCATCTGGGCAAGTCTCCCAACTTCCAGAAGCCTAAGCCACCAAAACCAGGACAACAAGCTGCTCATTTTGCCATTGGCCATTATGCAGGCACTGTAAGTAAATGGCTTTGAAACTTCATAAACAGCTTTACACATCGCCTAGATCGGTACATAACATCCACCCAAATTCTAAGTTCTCATCAGAGTTTCATAACACCTTTCTCCGCAAAAATATTTTTACCTAAGATAACCGAATTCGGAAATCAATTTATGTGTAACCGAGAAATTCTGTTGGTTGTGTATAACTTAGATAGGTGTAAGTAACTAACCTCATGGAGCTGAGCCCTTCTTGCGAAGTCGCAAGTCACGCATCGATTCGAAAACTTCCCACCACTTTATGGGACCGGAAGGTTCATTACCATGTTCACAAGAGCCCTCTGCTGGTCTTAATACTGAGCCAGATCAATCCAGTCCGTATCACTCCATTCTATCTCTCTAAGATCTATTTTAATATTATTTTCTCATTTACGTGTTGGTTTTAATGGTAGTCCCTTTCCTTCTGGCTTTCATAGAATAGTTATAGAATACAAATAAAATTGTAAAAGAGTTTGGATGGTTATGCGGCGAGTTTCTTCAGTGGAAATATTCCTCAGAAACAAATGTTGAAGGGAAGTTTATTTGAAGAAAATATATCTTAGATTTCCTTTCGCGTGACTGCATATTTCAAGATATGAGAAATGTTAGAATATATGTTGGCAGAGAGAGAAAATTTAAGCGAATAAATGTTCACGAAATTTTAAGGAGAATGCGGTAAAATAAATTAGTATCTTTAAGCGTACATATTAAAAAAAGTGTCAGTTTTCTATAACTCAAGTGCACCGCGTTCTGCTTCTACGTTCGATGTCACTGTATTCCCGTGATTGTCATCTTCTCTGCGTAAGTGGAACAGGATTCACGGTGTCATATCTAGTAAATGTGCATCCCTCTGAACATTCAGACACTATAAATTGAATTTTATAAGATGAAGAAAAAAGTGAAGTTATCCTTGTGACAGGAAGTGAAGGTCCATAAGATTGTGAGACGTCGAAGCTGCCAAATTTTCTAGACAATCGGCTCACAGTTTGCGGTGAGGCTGTGAGCCTTACGCGCCGGCCGCCCTTTAATCCCCAGGTAGATTCTTGGTACTCATTTCTGTTAGAGACTGAGTCGACCCCAGGGTCATAATGCGGCTGGAAGGATTATGTCAATTGAAAAAATCCACCTCATCGGGACACGAACCCACGGCTTGTAGCATAGTGCCTCAACCAACTAATCTACCGCGTGGGCTTGCAGCGTAGTACCTCAACCAATTACTCTACCGCGTGAGCTTGCAGCGTAGTGCCTCAACCAATTACGCTACCTCGTGGGCTTGTAGCGTAGTGCCTCAACCAACTACGCTACTGCGTGTTCCATCATATTTTATAGTTTAAATTATTTTATGATAAAGTTTATATCATCGTAACTACGTATATCAATAATGTTTATGTAAGTTTCTTGCTGTTGAAAGTTTACTGTTGCAATTCAGGTTTCTTACAACATCACTGGATGGCTTGAGAAGAACAAGGATCCTCTAAACGACACTGTTGTTGACCAGTTCAAGAAGTCCAACAACAAGTTGGTGGTTGAGATCTTTGCCGACCATCCTGGACAATCCGGCGGTGCTGAAGCTGCTGGTGGCGGCGGTGGAAAGGGTAAGTTATTGATAGATGGCTGTTGTTTCAGATCGGGCTAGGAATATTGCCCGCTGGATTTAGAAAGAATTACTATGAGTCTCTATTATTTCTATTATTTTCCAATATTTGGAATCAAATATCTAGTGAATACAATGTTTAGATATTTTTTTTCCAGAACGGGTATATAGTGCCAAAAATTATGTAGAAAGTTTTATAAAAAAAGAATATTATCATGTTTGAAAGTCTAAATTAAAAATGACGTCAAATGGGGTGACTTTGTGCTAGCATGGGTCATTAATATGTTCTAGTTAACAGTACAGCTGACAAAATGAAGTCACGTTGTCTCAAAATAACGTAACACAAACTCACCCATTTTGGCCTTAAAGTCACCCAAATTGACGGTGTCTATAGGCTCTGAAATGTTTCAATCTAGAGGAGACAATAATATGTAAATTTTCTCTAATATGAAAACAATTATTTTTTTCAACTATATAAAATCCTGTTTGTGAACTTATTTTTAACGTTAGGACTATTTCAGAATATCTCGTTTGTATAACGCAATTAAAATCCACGGTGCTAACCGCACACTCTTTATTAAAGTTATATATTTCCATTACTACATATTAACCTTTTGTACACTGATTTACAAGTCTGCAACATCTAAAATATTTTTAGTTTCAGGAAAGTAGATTGAAGACTGGAATTTTATTATACTTACATGTAATCTCTCATCACATTTATCCTGAATTTCAGGAAGTATCATTCATCGTCTCATATGACATGAAATCGAAGCCTTATTATTGTCTATTTCATCAGCTACTCTACTTTACTATATAGGAAACATCAATTTACACTTTCACGTTATTCTAACCTCCTAATATATTATCGCTGTCTGCACTTCATAATTCACTCTGATGAAAGGAGCTACATTTTGCTACCGAACCATTCCTTATATAATACGCTACATTCGCCTATATTTCATGTTTTCTGAAACAATTTTCTTATATTTAACCTTAATGAAAATCATTTCCTTCTGGTGATGACGTTGCATGTTATTTTCCTGTGGTCAACATGGTGAAAATTATTTTCTTCCTGTGAATACAGCGCAAATCATTTGTTTTTTCTGGTAAACCGCTACAAATATAACCAAATTTATTTCAATACATTCAATGCAATATAATAGCAAACATGGAAGAAACTATTCTTCTTTTGTTTCAGAGTGTTTCCGCTACATTTTTACAAAATATAATCTGTTACGTATTTTAAATTTGTAACATTTTTTAATTCTAATTATATGATTAATTTTCTCCATGTCATCCAACGCATATTTATTCGTTTGTATGTGGTTTGAAACAATCTGTATTGAATAAGAACAAATATTTTTCCCTCTATTTCACTGTATTTGTTGCACAGTCGTTTTGATACAGTTATAATCATTTTGAATAATGTTTTATATTTACAGACTTATAGTTGCTGCCTTTCATACTACAACTACGTAACTTTAATTACACAAAATATATTTGATATATAACGTAAGTTTTCCTGAAGCCTCTTTAAATGTGCGGCCAGTTGAACAGTCGTTCCTTTGCCCTGATTTAGGAGGAGCGAAGAGGGCAAAGGGGTCCGGATTCCAGACCGTATCTTCCTTGTACCGGGTAAATACTGTTGCCTACCAGTGCCGGTGACCGGTGCTCCGGACAGGACGAGACACTGCTCGGATTTCTCCTTCCATCCTCAGAATTCTCGCTTTCCTTTCCTCATAACTGTCTACTGTCAAAGCAGTGTAACTACAGCCACACGAACCAAAGCCAAGTACAAATGTCAGGCTATCACTTTAACTACAAAATCGAAATATTTGTGTTATTATAATTTCCTTTCCATAAATGAATTAAATGAAACACTAAATGGAGTAGATTAATTCGAGAATACAGATCGATATAAGATTTAGCTATCTGGTTTATGTTATTTTCTTCCGATACATGATATGTTGTTCTGAGATATTGAAGCGTAGTTTTATTGGTAATTTGAAGTTCTTAGCTGACATATGTACTTCAATAAATCCATTTCCCTCTGTTAATTCTAACGTTCAACTCTAGTCAGCTCACTGTCAATGTATTCAATCAAAAAATGTTTCTTGAATAATCTATTACGTACACTGTGTTGTTGACGGGGATAATTGAGGAGCTACTTGAATGGAAAATAGCGGCTCCGGTCTAGAAAATCGAAATTAACAACCGTGGGAATTCGTTGCGATGATCACGCAACACCCTCTATCCGCGAAAATTGTCACTCACTTCGCCGACAAGCGGCGGTCACTCGGTCGGTATAGTTCGCTTGCGGACTAATGCCATGGAATTTGTTTTGTTGACGTAAGTGCTGGTCCACCAAACACGAAATCCGTCGCATACTACGATGTGAAAGCAGTGGTGAGTACCTTGATATGTGCTGACGGATGGATCCTAACCAGTGCTCTGTGTCAACAATCAGCTCACCATTGTCTTCCCGCTGTCCAACCGCCTTTCTCTCTATCTCTCTGTATGTCGGTTAACACTATCCGTGCCTTGTGTTTTTTGTTGTCTCCAATAGGTGGCCGGGGCAAGAAGGGTGGTGGTTTCGCCACTGTATCTTCCTCCTACAAGGTGCGCCGTTACGATCCGGTCTGTTCGTCTCGCTAGTCACCAGAAACGCCAATCCCATACTAGAAATCTCTTTGTAAAATTCATCGACTGATGCAGTGACTTTATTAGAAAGTTCCTGCGTCAGGGATTTTACAAATACGCATTAATATTTTGTTCTTGTGACAAAATAAGTTCCTTTGGAATATGAATTATTAGAAAACCGCATTTGAATGTTAAGTTTTATGTTACGTGTCACATCTCGCGTAGTCAATGCAACGGTCTTTGTGGTTTATATGGGATCAGCGAGAAGGTGCCCTAGATGAGGCACTCAGCTCTGCCTGAAGAGTCCGAGTGATGTAGTGAGATTTAATATTATTTGAAAATTCTGATGACGTGACCACGCCAGACTAGCCAGAAGACGTTGATGCGTTCCTTTATGTTTCTCATCCGTGCTCCAAACACGATATAGGGCATTCTTTACGCAGAATAATTTGTATTTTGTTAACCGTCGTCATTTCGGTTCATAAAAGAGATATAAGCCAGTTATTCACTTTGATTCTTGGTCCTATAGAATATTCTCATTCGTTGTTTTTAATATTATTTGATCAGGTCACTAATAAGAAACGTACCTTCTTCGAAACCAGTTTCAAATTTTACTATTACTATGTTTAAAAAAAATTAAGATTATTTATATTATTTGGGGTTATGATTTGCAAGGTTTTGCAGAATTTAAATATTCTCTCCTGCTAGTGTTGCAGGCAAAATGATTTGTTCCAATCACTTCAGATAATTTCGGAAGAGAACTAGTTTATAAATATATATACTTGTCAGTGCACCATGTCAGAAATGTGGAGATAACTCTTCATATATTCTAGACCTTGGCACTTGATGAAGGCCAATGGTCTTCTTCAGGTCCCGCTCGCTTTAACCTGTAGTGGACGGTCGCCGGAAGTTTGTGAATATGACTTTGGATGGACCGTAGGCGTTCTGGGTTCGATACCGAAGGGAGTCGTTCCATCCTGAGCGGTGAAACAAGTAGGCAGGGATTTCTCTTGACACATATACAGGCCTAAATGATTTAATCCATTTGAAATATGTAAGGTGTATGAATAGGTCGAAACTTTTTCTCGCGTATTCTGATCAGTTCAGGCTCATGACCTGGTATGGTGAAACGCTTTCTGAACTGATACATGTATTTTAATCACTGGCATAAAAATAAGTAGGCCTACTATCGGATACAATGATAAGTTAACTGTGATATAAGGTAAACCGAAATTAGAATTGTTTAATAGCTGGCGTAAATTTGCAATACCAATTTGACTGAAATCGAATATGCTGTTTGCATTCTGTTACCAGCTGAGGGACGGACATAAAAGTAATTGTTGGGTTTTGGATAATGTTTGTTGAATGACATTTAAGGTTGTATGGCTTTCCATTTTTCAGTCAGATTTTATATTAAATTGGGTGAGAAAATTCGTATTCACAGAAAACACACGAAGATTAAATATTCTTTAGTTCTGTTTGTGGGGACATGGCAACTTATTAAACGGATATAGTGCTGTAGTCCCGAAATTATTACGACATATTTCTGAAATTCAAAATAAACTGTTTGTATTCCTCTACATTATAGGGTAAAGCGCGGTAACTGCGACATTAGATAGTTCGGTCTGATGACACAAGGCTTGATGGCGCGGTCTCGTCATTTTCATGCAATGTAGAGTATTGTTACAGCTGTCAGCAATTCTCTCTGCATTGTAGTTGTTTGATAGTTGGCTTGAAGACAGTGCGGCCGGCTGGGCTGGGACATTTGCCGTCGCCCCGTATGCTGTTGTATTGATCCCCGACTCTACGTCTGTTGTTACTTTCAGGCGCAAATCTGGGAGGCTGGATGTTCATATCTTCGCCGTGAACAATGCTTCCTCAAGTGTACAGAATTCATAACAAGTAATAATTTTGTTCTGAAAAGGTTGCTTTGCTGTTAATTTTCTAAAATGAGAGGAAGAAGTAAAAAAGTGGAAGAATTACGAATGAGAAACATTAACGAAATATAATATTAAAATTTAAACTTGTATATATGCTTAGCTAATTAAATACTACACCATGGAGACGTATGGGGGAGTGGATGTGTAGATCCACATTTTATTTATTTCGGCACTAGTTAGAGGTGAGTGGTCAGCTTCACGTCCCGGCCGCTTTACCCCGGTCAAAGAGCCTCCTGTACCCATTGGATAGGAAGCTGTGTAGGCCCGTGGGCCCGGTACCAGAAATCTTCCGGGGGGGGTAAAATGTGGCCGGCGCGTAAGGCTGACAACCTCGCCGCCATCTGTGAGCCGATTTTTCGAAAATGTGTGAGCGTCAACCTGTCACTACCCTATAGGCCTCCACGGTCTGTTACAGGGATATCTTTACCTTTTAATATTAAAACTGGTGTTAAATAAATGCACACAAAACTTGTAGACTTGTTCAGGAAAAGACTTCTCTTTCGGGGTTTTGTGAATGTGGGTATGAACTCTCGTACTTCATATAAGGTGTTGTTCATGATAGCCGAATATTTAACTACTAATTTAGTCACTTTATTACTCTATAATAAAATACGCATTGCTTATATATAAGCACACAGTATTTTGTCTGTCACATTTCAGTTAATCGAACAAACTTAATTAGTTTATATTCGAATCTATAGCTGCATATTTGAATGTACGTCCACTGATTCCAACATACTTATGATCATCAGGAAAGCGTTTTCTTAAACCAAAAGATGCCTACAAATAACAATTACAAAATTCTATATATAAATTTATAAACGTATGTAACAAATATTACTTAATATGATTTATGAATAGGAATTAGATGTTTAACCGATCACCCACTATTGAAATCGAGTTACTTGAACGGCTTAATGATCCTTTATTGCAACAGAAGCGTTTTCTTCGTGACTCATCTCGAGCGGAAATAACTTGAAAAGCAATTGTTCACGACGAATATCTTGTCTCTTTTATCTGCATGGCTGTCCGACCATCTTCTTCACAGATATCCAGATTTCACTTAACTGTTGCCTTGCTTTCTACTGAAATTGTTCAAATATGCATTTAGTAGCGTTTCGACTGGTGACTCAGTCTGCGGCCACCTGCCCGCGCTGGTTTCTCCCTCGCAGAGTTTTATACCCTGAATATGGAGGCTATACATTCCTCCGAAACGTCTGTTCACACAAAATCTACACGGTGCCATATCCCAGAAGAAGGCATTCTTCAAATACACTTTTATTTACATGGATAAAGCAGATGTTTACTCGATCGCAGAGTGTTCGTACACTCAGGTACTTAAGTTGCGAGGGCACGCGGCAATTCCATTTTCTGAAAAGTTTCTGTAAATTTTCTTAAAGTTTCTTTTAATATATCTGTATATTCAAATCAGGTGGAGGTAAATACTGTGAGCTTCTGACATATGTCGTTTTACGGATAATATTGCTCTGCAGTGCCACTGAGACAAAAATTTACATACAGTTGTACTGATCCACTGCAACTAAGGAGGACTTGAGGATAGGTGACTGCGGTGTCCAAAAATGGTTTTTTTGCAATATCATCGAGACAAAGAGTTGCATATGTCTTAGCATCAATTAGTTTCGAAGCAATTGACTCTTTGTCTTCATGATACTGCAGAAAAACAACTGTCAAGACATAAAAGTTTTTATTTTTACTTTAAAGATACACAGGGAGTTTACGTTCGCCCTGTATTTGCTTATTGTAATCCTTCTAAAATATTTTTATTTTATAGAGTTGTCAGCAATGGTGTTTTAAATCTCGAAGGTTAAAAATTTCATATACAATTTCTCATATCTAATACGCCCAAAAACGCAAAAGTGCATAATAAAACAACGTGGATGCATATTTGATATATCGTTTTGTACATATTGAACTAACAAAGCATTCTATCCTGAGTGATACTAATTGTGTTTAGTACTGTGAGTTGAGACTCCAAACCTATCGTTGGATATTGATGTCTTTATGTGTGTACGTGTGAAATAAGGAAGTTGAGATGGATAAAATAAAAATTACATATTTCCCTTATTAATTAATATAGACAGATCTGCATGCATATCAGTTAACATGTCCTTATATTTTATAACTTCAGATAATGCCTGCTACGTTCCATATTTCCTAATAACGCTTTGAAATTATAATTCCATCTGTTACGATGCGGAATATATTTCATTAAGCATGAAACTAGAAACTAGGATGAACAGGTATGTAAGTATTCTTCAAGATTACAGATTTTTTCAGCTCTTGATGTCTCAATTGTATTGTCAATATCCATTTTACATAAACTTAGATATAATTAACGGCTGGTAGATTAGATAACAATGTAAATCGAAAGCAGCCTTTAGAATTTGAACAATAAGTCACACTGTTAAGTAAAAAATGCATTATTCTTTGAAGTCTAAGGGCGGCCGCACACCAACTTCGTCAAGACAAGCATCAAGACTTGAGACAAAAGACGCAGTCTTTCTTCATTCGTGATTCGTCAGCATCATGACTCAGACCCGTGTGCGGCGGTTTTCATAATCTCATTCGTTTCAACTGTGTTCCTTTCTTTTTTTATTGCTAGCGGGGTGGGACCAAGTCCCTTGTACTGCGACCACTTCTGGCCTATTGTACCAGCCCCAGATGATAGGTGAGGGTGATTGTGGAGCAATTGGTGGAATGAAGATTGGCAGGGGAAACCGAAGTACTCGGAGAAAACCTGCACCAGCATCACTTTGTCCACCACAAATCCCACTTGACCAGACCCCAGGATCGAACCCTGGCCGCCGCGGTGGGAAGCCAGCGACTAACTGCTTGAGCTATGGCGCGGCCTTAAATATGCTCCTTTCTTTGCGTCATGTCGCAGGCATCGTGTCTTGACTGTTACATGTCTTGACGCGTGCCGGTGTGCGGCCTACATGACATCTGACACTACAGTGTCTCGTAATACGGATAGAGAAAATAATTAGCCCATGAAACACGTGTGTTGTCTCTTCGAACCACAGGAGCAGCTGAACAACTTGATGACAACACTAAGGAGCACCCAGCCACACTTCGTCCGTTGCATCATCCCCAACGAGTTGAAGCAGCCAGGTGAGTAGAGCACGTTTATACAGGATGAGATGTTAAATCAAATCCACAGTTCTTAAATATGTTTACATTAACACGAAGTCTAGCCTTTGCATAACTGTTGTTTTTTTCAAAGATCAGAGACTTCTAACATGTAATTTATTTTCGTAATTATCTATCATACAGAAGAACCCCCCCCCCAAGAAAATATAAATTTTCTTGCGTTGCTCGAACAACAACATATCAGCCACCATTTTATGTTACTCTCTTGCCATTCGATAATGTGGCTCTGGCATTCATGTGACTAGCAGCATCTTATTATGGAATATCACGGAAAACACAGTATATTATATTTCGTTTCAACTTTGAAACTGTCCATAGATTAATTATATTAAATTGCATATATATACATATATATATTCCTGGTACTCACGTCTGTTAGAGGCTGAGTCGACCCCAGGGCCATAGTGCGGCTGGAAGGATTATGTCAATTGAAAAAAAATCCAACGACCTCATCGGGACTTGAATCTGCGACCTTCCGGCTTGTAGCGGCGCGTAAGGCTGACAACCTTACCGCCATCTTTGAGCCCATTGTCTAGATATGTGGGACCTCAACGTCTCACAACCCTATGGGCCTTCACGGCCTGTTACAGGGATATCTTTATTTTTACTTACTTTTATATATATATATAGGCCCCCTCTGTATATCCATTCGTAAAGTTTATGGCAGATTGTATAAACGTGTTGAATGATCTACAGTATGCCGAATTAAACATTTCAATAAACTGACTGACAGAAACAAATTTTACTTTTGAAAAATGAAATGCAACTTTAGATATACGTTGGTTCATACGCAGCCTGCACTCGCCAAGAAATGCAAAATTGAAAGAAAAATTAATAAAATTTATGGCAAATCCACAAATACATTTACTATACATTACTAATTATTTTAATCTAATTTTTGTGTTTATTTTCTGTCGATGAAATTATTTTTAGTTATTTATACTGTTCTGTGGGAACTAAATGAAGATTTTTTAATTAAAGCGAATGATAATTTTCTCAATAAAAGTGGCTCTATTAATGTAATAATCGCCGTAGCTGCATTTTAAAAAAATGGTTCTTCTCCTGTAGGTCTCATCGACTCCCACTTGGTGATGCACCAGCTCACCTGTAACGGTGTACTTGAAGGTATACGTATCTGCCGTAAGGGATTCCCCAACAGGATGGTTTACCCCGATTTCAAGCTGCGGTAAGTGTTTCAGAAAAAGTGAGACTACACATTTCGAAATAATTAGGAACTACATATCCAAATTTAATAGTTAATCTCTGTTACGGATATATGATTCTTTTCCTCTTTATTCTATGTGATTTGTAATAAAAATCGTCCATTTTCTGTGTGAGTCAGTACGTGCTTTTGAAGATTTACAGATGTTTACATTTTCAGAAAAAAGTCTGCAGCAGTTACAGTTGTTAAAATATGTGTATAATCATTGGCTTATTTTCAGGTTCCTTTTCTTTGATCATCAATTTCAAAGTTAAGTTATTTCTGTCAGTCAAAATCCAGATATTCGTAACATGTAGGGCAAATGCCCTTATGCTAAACTCAATTTTTCCATAACCTGGAAGATAACACAACACGGAAATTTTAAACACTATCAATCAATTTCCTTGAAGTACACGAATTGCTGTGATCTCAAATAATATTAATACTTCATGAAAGTGAAGTAGCAGTCTTTTGTAGAAATTATACGTAATTATGAATATAGTAAAGATTGTTCATTTCTATCAAATAAGTTCTCACTGATATCTAAAAAAAAAAGTTAAATACATAACTTGGATGGAATTCAGAACTTAAAATTTCATTTTTTAAAGTTACAAGATTTTAGCCCCTGCCACCATCGATAAGGAGGCTGACCCCAAAGTAGGATGTGCTAAATGTCTGGAAGAAGTTGGTCTAGACCCTGAGAGCTACCGTATTGGACACACTAAGGCAAGAAGAGAGATTAGTTTTCTGTATTGCTCTTCCCGCCCTGTTCACGGAACTCTCATACTCAACTCTCTGAAATGGCGTCGGCCATCTGAAATACCTTCTGATCCTGCTCTTTTTGGCTGTTACTATTTAATTCAAATAAAACTCAGAATTATATTCTATGTTTTCACGACCAAGCAGTCCCTAACAAAATAATCGAATATTTCCTGGTATTTCCTGGATGCAAACGCCTGAAGATGAGTTGAGTAAGCATAATGTTAGGGGGACTTCCTCAGACCAAGCGAGTGACAAGTGACGAGTTGCTTCGGTCAACACTTAGAAGTGGCGAGTGAAGACCCCTCCATTCCAGCTCGACAGAATGCAGTTTGACCCCACTCTCATTCCCCCCCCCCCTCAAATATGTTGTACCCAACTTCAGATGAAACTGAGGCAACAAATTTTCTTTTTTGTTTAATTTCAGTTACTTTTTTAGTGCCCTTTTCCAGGCATCCATCACCAGCACGACATCTTGCTATGGAAAGCAATCAGTCATCTTCAGTCCTTTTTATAGAGCATGTTGAACTCAATCAGTTGATACAGAATTATAAGAGCTTCTTAAATACGGTATTGGCCTTCACACGGTTTGGAAATATTTCAATTTTTTGTTGTAAAATTTGTATTTATCTGTGGTATATTTAACGTCGTTCCGTTCACTGAGACTACAAAGCGTCCAGAAAGTCTCTGTATGCAAATGGCGTCCAAATATGGCGGAAGTAATATTATTAAACCAACATTGATCCTGGCAAGAAAAAACAGTTTTGGAAGAAGGATTATGATTCTGAAGCTCGTCAAAAATGACATAAAATACCTCTAATTTTCGAAATGAAATTTCATTTTTTTGTTTATTAATTTTGGGTACAAAATTTTAGTTCCGAAAGATTTCGTTTTTACTCTTTTTTAAGAGAACTAAATACATATTTTAAATTTTAACACCCTACAATTTGATATTTGAGACATTAACATTAGCCAATATCTCTAAGAACTCTTATCTAATTGCGACGTTGTTGAAAACTGAATCAACTGGTTGGAATAATTCTATCACGTTTGAAAAAAGTTGGAAACCCTCAGAAAGAAACAGGTTAAAATTCCCCTGTGTTCCTCGTGTTCTGCGCTAGATACAAGATTCTAGCTCCACATGAGGCCGACAAAGCTGGCGACGACCCGAAGCAAGTTGCACAAGCACTTTTGGACGCTGTGAACCTGGACAGTAACTCTTACCGACTGGGTCACACCAAGGCATGTAGTGACATCCAACCCGCACGCATCTGTGTCCATCCTGTTTCTTGTTAGCAGTAGAAATAGAGTATTATATTGTTGTATGTTAACCTGTTCGCATTCACATCTTCCCTGCTAATGTTATGTGTACATTGGCAAAGCAATGCCTAAAACAGCCTATTTAAATTTCAAGATCCGAACGTAAAGTTAGGGAAATCGTGATTTATTACTGTTTAAAAAGTGTTTAGTTGTTAGGAAATCGCTTTCACTGCTGTGCAAGAGAAGTTATTAAGTGCCTCAGACGGAACTGCGTTAACTTGGATGTAAAGACACACTGAGATAACCGCATATTCATCACTGCAGAATGCTTCTCTGTCCATTGGTTAATATTCCCTTAACTGTAGAAAATGTTTGGATTCCAGAGGGACGAAATTGTAGGTCACAGAATAGTACGTAATGGAGATCGTAACTTACACTCTTCGACAAACGTGACCAGTTCAGGGTAGGGCAGGTATCACGCCTGGAAGAGTAAAGCGTACAGTGTTTTGGTGGGAAAACCTAAAGGCAAATGGCAAATAGGAATGCCTAGACTTAGATGAGAGCATAATATTAGAATAGAACTTAGAGAATAATTAGAATGATCAAGTCACGGAGAATGAGGTGGGCAGGGCATGTAGCACGAATGGGGGAGAAGAGAAATGTATATAGGATATTGGTGGGAAAGTCAGAAGGAAAGAGACCACTGGGAAGACCAAGGTGTAGGTGGGTGGACAATATTAAAATGGATCTTAGAGAGATAGGATGGGATGGTATGGATTGGATTGATCTAGCTCAGGATAAGGGCCAGTAGAGGGCTCTTGTGAACACGGTAATGAACCATCGCGTTCCATAAAATGCTGGAAATTTCTTGAGTAGCTGCAGAATTTGCTTCTCCTCAAGAAGGGCCCCCTTAGAGAAGTGCGATAGGATATGGACAATATACATCTGGATTTAGATAGGACAAATTGCGATCTTTTGTGAATGCGGTAATGAAACCTCGGGTTCTATAAAATGCTGGAAAATTCTTCAAAAGCTGAGCAACTCTTGACTTCCCAAGGACTTAATTCCATGGAGTTCGTTAGTTAATTGCTGAATTTCTTTTTTCGTCCTCTACAATAAATTTAAATAATTTACGAGCTTATCTGAAACAGCACTGAAAAGTGACTACTTACTCATTTTTGTTGCTTATTTGACCACATTGACAGTATTGAAACTACACAGTATCTTATCGTAGGGTGATTAATGAATGTAGAGCACACAGTGAGATGATAACTAGCGTGATATATTCAGAGAAAACCCGCCCCGAAGTCATTTTCTCCACCACAATTCTCACACGACCTAAGCTGGGTTCAAACCCCAACTTTTGTCGTAGGAAGCCGGAAACTAACCACCATGACAAGACCCTATTCATTGAGGTAAATCGTTTCATTTGTGATTTATGTACAAAGGTTATTCACAATAATGTTCTTAACATTGATATGCGTAATGCATTAAAACGAGAAAATATGTCTTTCAGAGACAAAATTTATCTTTTAATTAAATAAATGAATATTATACTACTCGTCCTACTTTGTAGAAATATGTTTAATGATAAAGGGAAGAAGATATTTCTTGAGTCTACCAAGGCAAGCTAAGAGGAAGTATCCTGATTCCCAAATGCTAGGCTTATCATGCCGTCCTTACTGTACAGCATCGGCATTGTCTCCTGAATGACTCCTGATGAACTTAATTTTTTTTGTTTGATATCCTAAAAGTACTTGAAGTTCTAAACATATCACTGATCCGTGAAATTTCTGTTCATTTTGTTACCATATAATGAAGCTGCTTTAAATTTAAAATTGTCGTTTGATTGATTGCTAAACCAGTGTGGACTTCATGCCAACAGTTACGCTGTTAATAATGTGCTATTTCTTTTGTAGTTGGAACAACATTTAGAGAATAAAAATGTTCATGATACTCCAATAACTTTAATCCGATTGTTGACTGTCATCACGCTGAAGCAGTCTCGGATAAACCATAACGAGAAATATATTATAATTGTCAGTTGTGATATGTTTGAGGAGTAAATAATACATGAAGCTAAGATGAAAGAGACTGAGCAACTGAAACACTCTAAACGTTGATACTAAGCATATTGTACGCGTATTTATCTGAGGCAGTCCAAGCGTGATAAGATGTAGTTTCCATGTTCTGTGTTTTCTGAAACCGATTAGAATAGTTGAACGTGAAATAATATACGTTTATGTTGTGTTATGTGTCAATTGTAATTCCATACAACTTCCTACAAGCCCAAAATGTGTTTCTGGGTTCCTTTTCTCTTACAGATATAGTGTGATATATTTGTTTTGAAGCAGATTAGAATAGTTGAACAACATGAAATCATATGACATACATGTTGTGTTGTGTGTCAATTGTAATTCCATACAACTTCCTACAAGCCCAAAATGTGTTTCTGGGTTCCTTTTCTCTTACAGATATAGTGTGATATATTTGTTTTGAAGCAGATTAGAATAGTTGAACAACATGAAATCATATGACGTACATGTTGTGTTGTGTGTCAATTGTAATTCCATACAACTTCCTACAAGCCCAAAATGTGTTTCTGGGTTCCTTTTCTCTTACAGATATAGTGTGATATATTTGTTTTGAAGCAGATTAGAATAGTTGAACAACATGAAATCATATGACGTACATGTTGTGTTGTGTGTCAATTGTAATTCCATACAACTTCCTACAAGCCCAAAATGTGTTTCTGGGTTCCTTTTCTCTTACAGATATAGTGTGATATATTTGTTTTGAAGCAGATTAGAATAGTTGAACAACATGAAATCATATGACGTACATGTTGTGTTGTGTGTCAATTGTAATTCCATACAACTTCCTACAAGCCCAAAATGTGTTTCTGGGTTCCTTTTCTCTTACAGATATAGTGTGATATATTTGTTTTGAAGCAGATTAGAATAGTTGAACAACATGAAATCATATGACGTACATGTTGTGTTGTGTGTCAATTGTAATTCCATACAACTTCCTACAAGCCCAAAATGTGTTTCTGGGTTCCTTTTCTCTTACAGATATAGTGTGATATATTTGTTTTGAAGCAGATTAGAATAGTTGAACAACATGAAATCATATGACGTACATGTTGTGTTGTGTGTCAATTGTAATTCCATACAACTTCCTACAAGCCCAAAATGTGTTTCTGGGTTCCTTTTCTCTTACAGATATAGTGTGATATATTTGTTTTGAAGCAGATTAGAATAGTTGAACAACATGAAATCATATGACGTACATGTTGTGTTGTGTGTCAATTGTAATTCCACACAACTTCCTACAAGCCCAAAATGTGTTTCTGGGTTCCTTTTCTCTTAGAGCTATTGTGTGATATATTTGTGTTTGTATATATGTATATTCTATTCGTTGATTTGGAAATTGACCTGAGCAGCTGACCTGCTGTGTTACATTCCGGTGAAATGTTCTTTTATTCACTTGAACCTTAAAATTCCTGTTCCACCCACCAGATATAAAATCCTCTGCGCTCATCTTATCAAAGAGCCGATTGAACCTCAGAAGGCGACGCAGATCATCCTGGATAACATTAATATCGATTCGGAGCAATTCCGAATGGGTCATACAAAGGTAGACATATACACACTTTGATATTCGAGAAACCGTGTGCTATTAGTCTTCAAGAATGCCTGCAAAATATCTGAGATAGGATAAATATGTATACCCGATATATTTGTACCTTGAACAAAGTTTACAAAATGGTTAATTTTTTCCCCCATTTTTTAATTCCCGCAACTTTCCTCTGGATTTTTGTGAAATTGAATATTGGATGTACATACTAGTATTGGTTCATTTTCGAAATACATCTCAACACTTTGCACGAAGATAGAAGTGAAAATTAATCAGTTTTCTAAAACAAAAAATATGCAGAATATTCTATAGCAAAATGTTAGGAAGCCGGGATAGCGTAGTCCGTATAGCGACTGCCTATGGGATGGGTGACCCAGGGATCGGAGTTCGAGTCCCGGTGGAATCAATAATTTTCTCTTCTCCATTTCGTCCAGAGCTGTTCTGGGGCCCACCCAGCCTCCTATCCGATGGGTACCGGGGGGCTATTTCTCCGGGGGTAAAAAGCGGCAGAGGCGTGAAGCCGAGGTCAATAAAATATGGATCTATACATCCACTCCCCCATACTCCTTCATGGCATGTGTTTAATTAGTTAAACACAGTGACAATTTTACCTTTACAGCAAAATGGTATTTCATTAAAATATAGGAATTAATATGTTCAAATATTTTTTGATGTGATGCATATTTTGCGAAATATGATGAAGTACTTCTGAACTTCATGTAGTTTCAAATATAATAATCTTTGCAACGAATATTGCCACCAGTTAGGTGTGCAACCCCCAATCACTAGAATGTGATTTAGATGCACATTTCTATTCTTGATGTTTAGATATATACTGAAGACGCACACGGATTCTCCTTTCTATAATCACTTCTAATGCTTGTATTAATGCCCTTGAGCATTATTCTATTATAACATAATAAGAAAACAAAGTAATAGTGAATAGCTTTCAAAAAACACATATCTTCCAGAATGGGCAGTCACAATACACGGTGATGTGAAAACCATAAACACAACATAAAAGAGCAAAATCATTACATAGATCACACTAAAGTTGCTGTCATTTCAGAACATCCAGACTGTGTTACCATGCAGCAGCATGATCACTGGAACCAGTGGCTCCTTCACTTTATTCTGTAACAGAACCTGTTATGTTCTGTATTAACATGGGAATGTATATATCCCGTTTTGAATTTGCACCGTGCATGAAATTTTATGTTATTTTCCTATTGTTAATTCGTGTTTACATGCCTTACCAATAGTTATTCCGTTTTTCTCTGTTTGTTATTTAATTTACACTATTTAACTTGCTACTGTACTTAACAATTGCTTTGTATGGAAATAATTAATAATTATTTTGAAATGATATATTTTATTTCAGTTTAATTAGGACACATAATCATAATCTTGGGCATATTTATTGGTGTGCTGGGGTCACAGAAACAAAAGTTTAACCGTTTCTTAAACTGGGTGGTAATATGGAATAGGAAAATTGCTGTAATTTTTGTTTCAGGCATAACCATTTTGAAATTAGCACATTAGATGGCTGTGCCCAAGTTTCAGAGCAACATTATGTAAAGCAGCATTTACAAGTCTCTTTCTTGCAAAATACAAACCTGTAGAGAATAAAGTTGATTCTGACTTCATTTAATGTAATAAAATCTCAACTACATTCTTTGAAATATATTCAGTTCTATTTCTCATAGAAGCCAACACAAAAGACCCAGTGTACCAATTTCCCTCTGGTTGACTAAAGATACTCATAGCACTCGCTGTCATTTTACATACCTTCCATGAGACAGCTGAGTCAAATAGTTGCGAAAAGCTATTGCTCCATATCTCTCGTCTATTCCATATTAGCACTTCCCCCTTTAAGATCATTGTGTATCACTGTATGAAATTAACCCTTTCATGAAAACAATTGTAGTAAATATGTTTAAAGAAACTGGAACTTAAATCTTATTCTTGTTGGCAGAATAAAGTTAAGATTGTTTCATACCTTAACTGTTTACTTTCATAACAGCATCTTTACATATAGTTTTTTTGGTAAATAAGCACAGAAACTTTTTTGGAAAATAGTTTATAAAATAGCAATGCAAATTTAAATTTTTACATTCTACATCTGAAATTGGATTTAAAGAATTATGCTATGCTGTCTTTAATACTCTTTATAAATTAATTTTAATAATAAACTCATCCCAGAAGCTACTGTTCCTTACTATTGGAAGACATAAATGAAAACAGATTAATAAGTCCTGAAACAAGTGTAATTGCATAATATCAAAATGAAGGTGAGATATTTATAGTAACATGTAGAGGTAACATTATCTAATAAGGTATATAAAGGTATATAAGATACGCAGTCTACATAACAATATTCTATATTTAAAAAACAAAGAAGACACTACTGTATCAACATTTGTTTATATTTGTTTTTACAAACAAATGTTGATACAGTAGTGTCTTCTTTGTTTTTTAAGTACAGAATATTGTTGTGTAGACTGCATATCTTATATACCTTCATATACCTTATTTATAACACTCAACATGATCTACACTATTAAGATTGTAACATTATCTGTTACCTAGCTCATCATGTAAAACAGTTCTCATTAGCTTCGAAATCACATCTGTCAAGATATAGCTTCTGAGATGTGAAACCCAGTAACAATGCATGAGGGAAGGTTTTAATTAGCCTAATTGATTTGGGGAGCATAATTATATACATTTGATGAGAAATGAGCTGAGATTATGCATGCTACAGTATACAATAACACTATATGTAGACTAACAAGAAGTGCACGCCATAGGTGTTCTTCCGAGCTGGTGTCCTGGGTCAGATGGAAGAACTACGAGACGAACGTCTTGCCAAGATCATCACCTGGTTCCAGGCATGGATCAGGGCTTACATTGCCCGCAAGGAATACAAGAAGTTGCAGGACCAGAGGTGAGTACGAAAACCTATTTTACAGATTATTATTGGAGTATTCTTCTGGACACTGACTGACTGACCTCACTCACTGCTAAATCACTGCTGGTCCTCGCCAGCACAGTGATTCTTGGTTTCGAGTTCCACGGGACTCATGACCATATTTTACCCTCTGACAGCTCTGGAAGCCTACCACTTCTCACGATGACTTGCTCTCCACGCAGGACTGTAATAACCTGTGTGTGTGTGTGTATGTGTAATATAGTCTTATAAGTGTAAAACTTCGTAGATTATTAGCTAAACACCCCTCGCCCTTTATTTCATATATGTATCAGGGCATGTAGTACGAATAGGGAAGAAACGAATGCATATAGGATATTGGTGGGAAACCCTGAAGGGAAGAGACCACTGGGAAAACCAAGGCGTAGGTGGGTGGACAATATTAAAATGGATCTTAGAGAGATAGGATGGGATGGTATGGATTGGACTGATCTGGCTCAGGATAGGGACCAGTGGAAGGCTCTTGTGAACATGGTAATGAACCTTCGGGTTCCATAAAATGCTGGGAAATTCTTGAGTAGCTGCAGATTTGGTTTCTCATCAAGAAGGGTTCAGCTCCATAAGTAAGTACGAGTACGTTACAATATATTCCGGCCATATGCAACCATAATCAGGTATATATTGTATATCTATACGTTAGTTAGCTGCATTATATTGTATAATAATTTTCGCGTAAGACGTGAGGACCTTAAAATTTTCCTTACACAACTTGTATTCTTTTTAAAATTATTTTAAAATGCAGTATTATTCGTTGATGTTTTCCTTTATTCTTCTCTGCTGTTTGGTGTGTAACTAGTTGTCTAGGATGTCTTGCATTTATAATACCGTGTTATGTGTTTAAGTACAATATTATGAGTTGTAGTAAATCTATCAGTACCGAAATTATGTCACGCCTTCTCGTTAGTCTGCACCAGATTCGTAAAACACTATGGGAATATTTTGTTTCAAATGCCATTCGAATTCCAACGGATGCGTTATGTAATATCCCGGTTACTGTGCTTCTAGGGCCATTCAAATTATCATGAACTTTCACATAATATTCCGATAATACTGTCCGTGTTTTTAAGCCTGGTCCATACCCAATGGATTTGGTTGTGTTCAGTAACTGAGATAAGGTCAGTAAGGTCATTCTCCCTCCCTCCAACTGTGCAACTGTAAACACTGTTCCGCTAATTCTTGTCATATTTCTCCTCACACGAAACCTAAGGGGCCAAATCCAGTAACACGGTCTTTACTTCGTATTCTTACACAAAAACAAATTACGTGGCCTTTGGTCCACAAGCGAACTATACCGACCGAGAGACCGCCGCTTGCCGGCAAAGTTAGTGCTAATTTTAGCGGACAGAGGGTGTCGCGTGGTCAGCGCAACGGATTCCCAAGGCCGTTAATGTCGGTTTCCAACACCGGAGCGGCTACTTTTCCTTTTTGGCACAGAGTTTACGTAATCTTGCAACACTACTTTGCTCTAACAGCCATTTACATTCTGACGAATTATTTAACACTAACCCGACGTCTACTTTACTTTAACTGTCGTTCGCAAATTCTTGGGAGTTTTGTGTGAAGTCCCGTAACCGTCGTACTCCGTTAGGATGTTTTAAGTAATATAACATAAGGACCATTCTCAGGGGAGATTTATGTATTGATATTCCCGCACTAGTCTACTTTATCCGTCATTCTTATTTTCACATTAAAATATTATTGCCTCCAAACACCTCCCACTACCCCGGATCGACGACACCCTGGACACACTAGCTGGGGCGAAATGGTTTTCCACTCTCGACCGGAAGAGTGGCTATTGGCAGGTCGACGTAGACCCAGACGACAAGGAAAAGACGGCGTTTTCTACAGGTCAAGGACTGTGGCAGTTCACAGTCATGCCCTTTGGCCTCTGCAATGCCCCGGCAACCTTCGAGAGACTAATGGAGACAGTCCTACGAGGCCTCGCGTACGATTCGTGCCTCGTGTATCTGGACGACGTCATCTTTTAACGTTAATCTCCATTATCACAGATGAATTATCCCCACAGAGCTGCGCTCTGACGGCCATTATGATTCGTGTTGGTGGTTTATGTAGTATTATCCTTTACAATTATTGTACTGTGCCTTTGGACAACATTATTATGTAGTTCTGTTGATATGAATTCGACTTGTGTTTTCGTGATTTTAATCAGTCGTTCAGTAAAAATGATTAGATTTTATGTTAACATAGAGAACAGCCATTTTGTTCTATGTATTTACCAGGTGATCGTTCATAACTACCTTATCATTCCACTCTAGAACATTTACTCAGGTGATAAACCTTTAATGAACCAAGGTACAAGTAGCGATTGAACTGACAACTTGACTAATTCATAGGCCTCATTACGAATGAAGTGCTTCTTATGATTTGTATAGAAATTTGTACACTATTCATAAAACTCTCCACTGTGATTTCAGAAGCAGTTTTTGTTTTTGGTCATAGTAATTACTTACATTTAACGTCGCTAGAAGCCTGAACTAGCACATATAATTTTTTGTGACCTTCAGAACACTATTTTAATGGGGCAGACTGTATACATAAGATTTTAGTCCCTCATTAAAATGACCTGCCTGCGGAATTTCGCATGGGTACATAAAATTTTTATACACTCTCTAACTACTTTAATATAGTCGAGTTACCTTAAAATAAAATAAAAAAAATGAAAATGAACCATGTAATAATCCGAAAAACATTTCGTTACCGTGCTCGTCGTAAAACATGAAGGTTATGTACGCATTGTCGTTGCAGTTTTAACGCTCTCCTCACGGAGTAAGGAATGGAGACATAAATTGAACTGGACTCGAATCCATGCATGTAAGACGAAATTAACAATTTTCCTCTGTGTATCTCTTCAAGATAAATACCTTTTCATGTATTTTCAATTTTTGCATCTCCGAGAAATAGTGTAGAAGAGACAGAGAGAGAATAATTTGCCTATTACATATGGGGATTCTTAGGCAAAATTATATAATTACTACACACATACATTCCCGTTATGTTTGGTGTCTGTCTGTTTGTCTCCGAAACGTTGTGTTTTTAAATATAAACAGGACGGTATTTTTAGATAAAAACAGGACGATTAATAATGTCCAGAAACACAATACTTGTACTACTGTACCCTAGTCACAAACTTTTATAAATATTGTATTTTGAAGGACCGGTCTTTGAATATGGGTGGCCTTTTAGAGACATTTTTCTACACAAACTTATTCATGTGTTCAACAATGAAAATGGCTTTTCAAGACCAGACACACGCTCCAGATGTGTGTAGAAAGCCCAGGGGAATAGCCAACGCAGGGTCCATTATAAAAGATATTTTTGCAATTCACATTTGGCTATTCTTTCCTAATATTCTTGGCAATGATATTTATGAGTCTGAAATCACTAGAAACTGCTCCATTAGAGAAAATGAATAATTTTCCAGCCCTTATTGGAAAGGAATTCCAGAAAGCAACTTTTGTTTAGCTTGAAATATTTTAGGTGCGATGTAGTGAGTCAGTTTAGCTTTGTGCCAGACACCAAAAATTAAGTCGCATTTTAAATTTCTCTTTTTATCTTCATTAAAATTTCTTTGGAATTTGAAAGTATTTTTAATAATATGCATTTATATATATATATANATATACATTGATTGCTTTTTTTTTTTATTTTCAACAATAGGATGATTTCGTTTATGCTGCAAGGCTGAAATATTGTCACTGGTATTAAACTGTAACACGTTTCTTTGGCTGCTGACTTCAGTTGTTTTCTTTTCGGCGCATCGAGTGAGTCACTTGCCAGAAACATAAAGCCCCCGTGTTTACGGAACTAGGTCATATGTCTTCACGTCCTGAATTGAAAAATAAAAACGTACAGACACACAAGTAATCATATCAAGCACGCTAGCGTAATCATGACCTAATTGTTTTCCCTTTAAAATTATGTTATATTTTAAAATCATATGCGTGTCTCCGTTGCAATGGCCAGCCGTCTAATTAGGTTCTAATAGAAATCGCTGTTTGGTATGAAAACCAAATTACACTCAAACATGCAGAAATATCGGACATAAAGGGTGAAGTAAACATAGTTAATATTGGCTAAAATTTCGGACTGAAAATCGTCTTGGTTTTTACTCGGTTATTGGTTTAACGCCAAAAATATATCCACGGCCCTTTCCTTCCATATTCCTCATAATTTATTATTGTCCTGTCCTTAGACAATTCAAAATAAACACTTATTATAAAATAATGGTCAGTTAATACATAAAGTACTAAATTTTCTGTTAGTTTCCACATCAATTGACATAAAATTTAAGCAGCTTTTAAGGTTTGGAAATATATCATTTAAAATGATTTTTGTATTTTTCTGCTCAAGAAATGGCTGAGTAAAGGATATTTAGATATTAATAGGTAGAAAACATTTGGAAGAATTAGGCGTAGGTAAGAGCATGGTGTTAAAATCGATCTTCAAGAAATAATGGGAGGATGTGGAGTGGAATCATCTGGCTAAGGATATGGAATTATGGCGGGCCCTTGACAGCACAGTAATGAATTTTTGGTGCAAATTATATGTTCTTGGACATTACATATTCTCATGACCTTATCTAATAACATCGGCCTGTTTATTTTTCAAAACACAACGTTTCAGAGCCTGGATTCTGTCTCTAGGCCAAACTGAGTAGATTTTACCTGAAGATGGAGGCAAAACCCAGTCTCCGAAATGTTGTTTTAGATAAAAACAAGACGATGGATAATATCCAGAAAAATAATACTTGTACTAATGTACCATCGCCACAAACTTTAAGATATTAATGAATTTGGGGGTTTCAAACAATTGTGGGAATATTTTGATGAACTGACGAACGGTTAGCTTCTCAAAAAAGAAATTTTGGTTTTAAAAAATCTAGAAATAATTTGATGAGCTGAGGAATTGTTAACTTCTCAAAAAAGAATTTTTGGGTTTCCAAAAATTCTGCAAATATTTTGAACAGAGGAATTGTTAGCCTCGCAAAAAGGAAGCTGCTGCCTGGTGCTAGCGTTCAGTAATGTTGGTTCAAATAAGGACAATGCATGCCTGTGGCGCTGTTGCAGGATCGCTCTCCAGGTGGTGCAGCGAAACCTCCGAAAGTACCTGCAGCTGCGCACATGGCCATGGTGGAAACTGTGGCAGAAGGTGAAGCCTATGTTGAACGTCACGCGGATAGAGGACGAGATGAAGGTACGTGCCGGCCTATTTCTAGCCACCAACAACATTATCATTTTTCGCAGCCTTACAAAATTTTCCAGCTTACCTTCCTTACCACCGCATCCGCAACTTAGGTGGGGCCCTGCTAAATATGAAGCTAACCCCTCTCATACCCCTTCCCCTCGCGTATGAATAAAGTATTTTATTTGACATGGTGCCAAGAGGCACCCAACCCACACCGGGTTCTCGTTTTGAGGCGAAACCTCTGAAAGCTGTAGGCTGGTGGGGTACGAGGTGGAGTGCGAGACGGATGACTGTTCCACTGAATCAGTTGCCCGCGACCGACCGGAATACATCCGCTCAACTCCGATCCCTGTCGACCCTTCTTCCTATCCTCGGTTTGTTGTTCGTGTACAACAGCAGCAATGGACCCACGTGAACCCAGTGATTCTGATCTACAGAAACTGGAGGAGAAAGTCCAGAAGGCTCAGGAAGCCTTCGAGAAAGAAGAGAAATTGCGCAAGGAGGTTGAAGCCCTCAACGCTAAATTGCTACAGGAGAAGACAGAACTGCTGGCTAGTCTGGAAGGTGAGAAGGGTACCCTTTCCGACGTACAAGAGAGAGCCAATAAGCTCCAGGCGCAAAAGACAGACCTCGAATCCCAGCTACACGTGAGTGTTGTCTATATTTTTACTTAGACAAGATCTCATCCATATAACACTAACCTAAATTATAAACTACACCCACTACTGACAATACCAATAGTTAGAATGTCAATATTTGTTTCATGTTTGAAAGTAAGCAAGTATTTTCGCCAACAGTTAACCACATAAAAGCCTTCAGTATCTTCCAGAATACGTTCATGGATTTCATATAGTGTTCAATGTAAATAACTATTGTTTTTCTAAACATCATTATACTTCTGATATTTGTAGTTGAGGTAAATAATAGTTGTTTTTATAAATAATGTACATGAACTGCGTCATTCTAAATGGTGAAATGGCAGCTACGTCCTTAAGTTAGTTACATTTCGAGAAGAAAGTATGAAAATTGTATTTGATCATAAAATCAATCTACTTTTAACTGCTAGCGAAACATAAGGAGTGTTGTTTGTTAGTAAAATGCAGACCGAATTAATCTTCATCTTACTGCTAGAAGGAACTTGCTGTCAGATGGGAAAAGCAGGAGAATCCCTTTAGATATTATTGAGAGAAATGGAAAAAAAAAAAATATATTCTTTGTAGACGTAATTCTACGTCTGGAATATCAGAATTTTGTGTAGAAATTAATTTTGTTTTTGTTATCGTAATTCTCCATAGTTACAAACTTAGTTGGCCCACATTTAGTGTTCGTTTCTTCCAAAAAAAAATATTCGAACTACATAAAATGGAACCAAAAACGAATTTACATACAAAGTAAATATTATTAAGACCATTCAATAGATAGACACTATTTATTTGAATTGTTGTGTATATTTTGTTAAATTCATTCAGCAAAACCAATAAGGAAATAAATAAAACATAAAATAATGGATTTTATCATAAAATTATTTATATTCTGCATTAGCCAAGACTGCTAGTGCATCTGTGCATTGGAATAGTTAATAACTAATGATAAATTATATTTAATTGTCATATCTCAGTTTAAGATACAAACTAACTATAACTCCTATTGTCATAACAAAATACTACTCTATACGTTTTAGATACAACCGCATATACAAGAGCATGCATTTTTTATGTATATAAATTTCAGTTTATCTGTGAAAAAGATATTAAAATATAAACGAAACTTGCCCAGATCTATTGAAAATATATAGTTCGGGAATTAAAGAATTTTGCGCTCCAAATGCATATTTTCAGGGACTTTCTCATTCTATTCCAGGTGTTCTATTTCCTAGAAACATATTTTCTGTCAAAAAGTTTGTTGCATTAATTTGTTTTACGCCTTCCTTGAATTCCTCGGCCTTGAAACGATGAATAAAACGCCGTATGTAGCAGGATTTAAACTTGACATGAATCCCCAGTCTGTGAACATTTTTGGTGGGGATTAGACGTCTGACAGCGTGAAACTCGAGAGGTGTATGAAACTCCAACCTGTGCTGGAGCAGGAGGCGGGTGTGTGTAGGCAGGGAGAAACACTTCTGGCTTGGGGCCCGGTGCTGACTGAGACATTGCAGCTGCCATCGCCCCCCCTTCCTCACCCCCATGGGTTAGCTATTTGCGGATACACCTGAGTCATAGGCACCAGAGTAGTGGCTCCAGCGTTTAACACTCCAGAGCTGACTCAGGCCAGCTCGTGGAGAAAATTTTCACTTTCGCTGTCTCAGAAAGGAAAATCAGAGAAGATTGTGCGTTCTGCCTTTCAGCTATTTCCAGTTCATCACAAATTTGGATAGTCAGTTCTGTCTCCATCCCATATCAGATTTGGCGACTATACTAAGAAATGATTTTTTCTTCTAGCATATAAGAATTTCAATAATTCCAGCTGAAACAAAAATAAAATCCAGTTGAGCACAGAAATCTAAATTTAATCGCAAAAAAAAAAACAATTTGTTTACATGTTTTTGAGGTTCTAGTGATCAACAACAAGCAGTTCCGTTTAAAACACTGTAGATTTTTATAGTACAAGATTGCTCAGGTATGTCAGACTAAAATGATATTTTGATGCTGAGTTGAAAACTACAAATTATATCGGACTGACCTAAAGAAACGTGAGGAAGTAACCAAATAGATGTTTCGAGTTGCCAGCGGATGATCCACGAGCCAATTTTGGTACGATGTAAGCGGTTTCCAAGACTGAGTTAAATCAGGAGTCACTGCAGGTGTGGTTGTCAAGGTTTCCTGTAACACACACCATTCAGATGTTCGTAACTAGAGACTCATTACATGTGGAATCTTCCATCTTGAAACAGCACAGAAATACGTTCATGAACGAACAAAGCTTCTTCTATAATTGCCCAGACAAATATTTAATTGGACGTTTCTAAGTGTAGCAAAAGACCACTGCAATGAAGGATTGTAAATTGTAATGTTCTTAGCCAAACGGGTTACTCATACAAGCATGACACCACTCATTTTTTTACAGCCAGTTGACACACAGTTCAGTTTGTTAGCACACAATGAAAGTGTGTCCACTTATAATCTGACTGACACACTGAAACTTTGTTGTAGAGACAGAGAATTGCGGTGAAATTGTGGCAGATTTTGTTTCTGTGAATGAACTCATTTCTTTTCACGGTAAAAGCATTTGCCTTTCGCCTTCGTTCCGTGCAGACTAATTTAAAAGATATTTTGGAACGTCCTGCGGAGGGAGGGAGATATATTGCACGATGAATTCCATCCCTACGCGACGCCATTAAAATGAGTGGACGTCCCACCGACGGAAATAACCGGCGACGAAGACATCCAAGTGACAAAGTGCTTGCCGCGTGTGGTTTTCATCTTTGGAATGCGGCCAGGGACATAACTAGGAAGCTTAAAGCTGAGTGCGTCACCTATCAGCAGGACTGAGCACTTCTTTGCTCATCTAAACAACATGGCGGTTGCTACTGCAGGAAGTGCCCCTTTTGATGAAAGAAATAACTAATCGTACAGATCTGCTCCCACGCACACAGACTTGGATATGGGGCCCAAATATGTTTACAGACTCCAATATTCGGCTTTATATTTAAATTCAAGGATAATTTTTATTTTTTTAATCTTTTGAAAATTTTGTTACGTTACAGCTTTGCCTCACAGCAAGAGGAGAGTGGTTTAAAATGAAAATTTTCCGATTTGAAAGAACCGTTTTATTTGAAAAACATTCCTTAGGACATAAAGTATAGAATAACTACTAGCTAATCCGTGGCTTTAGTCCGCAACCGAACTATACCGACCGAGCGACCGCCGCTTGTCGGCGAAGATAGTGTCAACTTTAGCTGATAGATGGTGTCGCGTGGTCAACGCAACGAATCCCCACGACCTTTTTTTTCTTAGACCGGTGCCGCTTTAGTTCCATTCAAGTCGCTCCTCAATTATCATCACGAGGCTAAGTTGACCCCGTTCCAGACCCATTACTTCTCAGACAATCTGGAATCAAACCCGGGACCTCTGGATCTGTAGCCAGGTACTCTTACCACTAGACCACAAAGGCGGTGGAACGACACTGATATTAAATGCACAGGATACAATCAAGGGACATGTGTGTCTGTTATTGTATTTAGTCTGAATGTTTGTTTATTAGTTGAAATAGTGGATCAGTTAGTGCTTTTATTCCAAATGACAGACAAATCAGACAGAACACAAACTGTTAACGGAATGTAGGTGATAGTAAAGTTACAAATCTTCGCTTTAAGAGCTGCGAGGAATCCCGAAGCATAAGTCAGTCTAGAATTTCGATTGTATCTGAGATACATCTCACAGATGTTTGCTTTCGTTTAAGCGGTATCGCCCTTGTGGTTAACATTCTAAACAACCAGTTCCTCCTACACTTGTTTCAACAGACCAAACTTTACAAATTATATACGTAGGAGATGTTTCTGGAAGTTAGCGACGACTAGCGTCGGGGTGTGGTGATGGCATACCGGCAGCATGAGCGCGAGATTTCCAGAACCACGTCCATAAATAGCTTGTCATGAGTGTTGAGTGCATCTCACACAGACCAAACATGTCAGCAAACCACAACCCGAAAGCACAATGAAAAGTAGGCATAACTCACATCATTTCAGCGCGCGCATTGATCTAAGCCTGTCTGTACACGGGTATTGTTGATTTCTGAGAAGAGAAATATGTTTTGAAGCTTGTAGCCGTTACAAATTTGAACATTTCTGTCCTGCTATTGGTGGAAACTTGAGGATCACTATGTGAGAAAACAGATTTATTCTGAAAATAGTTTCGGAACTAAAAAAAGAACTCCATTTACGCGGAACATAAAAATGATATTACATTCGTCATACTTGTTTCTTACAGATAATTCCTTGCAAAACGATGAACACGCAAAGAAACTAGTGTCGCAGCATTTATAGATCATGCGCAGATATATGCATCTAAACACATATGAGTCATTGCTAAGAAACGGTTATCAGATATAAATATAAGAAATAATTCTCTTGTTTTCTGAACCATGGCTGAGTTCAGAGGCGTTTTTATAGCAGACTTTGTTGTAGTTACGTAATACTAAGCATTTCTGTAAAAATAAACTAAGCCATAAGCAGCACGTACTGCAATTTCACAGCAGTAAGGTAGTAAAAGCCGGTCACGGTAGCCAAGAGTTCTAAGGCATGGACTGTCTTCGCTCGCTCGGAAGCCGGGATCTTGAGCTCGAATCCCACTCAGGGCATGGATGTTCAGTGTTTGTTTGTGTGCGCGTTTTTCTGTGTCTGTGTACAGGTAGAGAGGCCTTGCGACGAACTGATCAACCGCCCAAAGAGTTCTACCGAATGTCTAAGATCTAGTAAACCGAAGTGACAGGGAGAGTTTCATGGAGGTAGATCAAGGCCAAAATTGGGGCTGTAGCACCAAAGGAAAAGAAAAGTAGTTAAATACACATCCTCGAAGTTCCTCTGACCTATTTATTTGGCTAATTACAAAATTATGCCTCCAAATTCGGTGCTTTCTTAAGGCGCGTCCACATTACTCGTGTTCGTGCTCGTGCTCGCCAGGCTTCGGCGCGTGGGGATCCGTATATTTACTTGTAGTGTGTATAGGCTGTAGTCGTATTTATTGGCTATAGTTTTTAAGTTAAAAATTTTAAATTTGCTTGTCTCGTGATTTATCATATCGTCCACATTACTCGCGAGCATAGCGAGTCCCACGAGCACGAGTAATGTTGACGCGCCTTTACGTTTCTTATTGATATAAATCTCTTTCCCAATTAAGCTGCAGGAAGTAAAGTAGGTGACACACTGCGTCTGAGGTGTGAGCATAGCACAGTCGGCGAATTTACTGAATGGTTAGGGGAAACATCCCTGGCATTTTCATGAAAACATCTTGAGCGATAAACTATCCATTCGGTATTTTAAAACGTTTTAATGTCGATTTTATAATTAGATACATATCGTCATAGTAAAGAATTCATATTCGTTTAGAAGACTGCATAGGATTCTTCGTAATGAAGAGTAATAGGATTTCAGAATTTGACCGTTTAACTTTCAGGACACTCAAGAGCGACTGCAGCAAGAAGAGGATGCACGCAACCAGTTGTTCCAGAGCAAGAAGAAACTTGAGCAGGAAGTCTCAGGCCTCAAAAAGGACATCGAGGATCTGGAACTTAACGTACAGAAGGTCAGTACGAATGTCAGGACATCCGAAACCAGAATGTGCAGTTGATTTGAGTGAAACGGAACACTGAAATGTGTGCAAGCGAAGGACTGATCACTTATACAAATTCGTTAACAGAGCACAAGTCTCATGAGTCGTCAAGCTTGTGTCTTCTTTGTCGAGATTTACTGCAACACCATGATCAAAATTTCATATCAGGATTTTAATGTCATTAGTTTTAACTTGTTTTTGAAATTATTAGTTTTGTATTTGTTTTGTTATATTATATATATAGGGGCAGATTTAAGGGTGATAGACCTGGGCGGTTGACCCGGGGTCTCCATAAACCAGAAATAGAATTCTAAGGTTGTACTGAGACATTTATTACTATAAAATGAAGGAAAGTTAGTGTTTTTAGTTATTGTAAGAAAGAAGGAAAGAATGCCGTAAACTAAGCGTGTTATTACTAATAGGGGCCTTGACGTTTTGGTTACTAATGAGCCCCCAACAACTGAAAATTATACCCTGTATTTACAATACAAGAATATTAACAACACATATTTTTCGGCCTGTGATAACATTATGTTTACTTTTCATTAAAGAATAACTAGGTGCTTCCCGAATATTCCTAGATAAATCGTTCACTAATGATATCCAGTCAGATATACATACTGTGCTTGTACTCTTGTACAATACCTTATACATTTGGTAATGATCAAGCACATATGCCAGTTAAAATAATTAATCTGTTTTAAATTCAGTACCGAAACATGTACTTAATGTTTATTACATATTATTATGAAGGGCAGATCAAGAGGGATGAGATGGGCTGGGTAAGCAACACGCATTTGAGGGAAATAAAAATTCCTACGAAATCTGCGTCAAAAAACCAAAAAGGAAAATAGAAAACTGAGGCACAGAGAAGATATAAAGCAGATCGCGTGTGTGTGGCCACGATTAATCTGGTCCAATGGCGGCTTCTTTCAGATACGTTTATGAAGATTTCGGCCCTCGAAAAGGCTAAGAATTCCTTAAAGAGCTGAGTGACTATCAGCTTCCCAACAGGACCCAGTTCTGTGGAATAATTTGATGAATTAATCTGTTTGTCAATTATAGATTTCAATACTCACTTACTTACTCACTCATGGAGCTGAGCCCTTCTGGAGGAGCCGCCAATTCAGCAGATATTCAAGAATTTCCCAGAATTTTATGGAACCCGAAGGTTCATTATCGTGTTCATAAGAGCCCTCCACTGGTCCCTATCCTCAGCCAGATCTATCCAATCCATACCATCCCATCCTATCTCTCTCAGATCCTTTCTAATATTGTTCACCCACCTACGCCTTGGTCTTCCCAGTGGTCTCTTTCCTTCTGCCTTTCCTGCAAATATCATATACGCATTCCTCGTCTCCCCCATTCGTGCTACATGACCTTCCCACCTCATTCTCCTTGACTTGATCATACTAATTATACTTGGCGAAGAGTACAAGTTATGAAGCTCCTCATTATGCAGTTTTCTCCAACCTCCTGTCACTTTATCTCTCTTCGATCTTATCAATTTCAATACATTGTTAAAATCAAGTAATGCATAATGAATTTATTTCTTCCCCCAAAAATAGGCAGAGCAGGACAAGGCGACAAAGGACCACCAGATTCGCAACCTTAACGATGAGATTGCTCACCAGGACGAGCTGATCAACAAGCTCAACAAGGAAAAGAAGAACCAGGGAGAGACCAATCAGAAGACAGCTGAGGAACTCCAGGTAACGTCACATAAATTAAACGTTCAAAATTTGTATGATTTGTACGTTCGAGTAGTTAGGTATATGCAGGACTTAGGCAGCGTCATAATGCTTGTAGTTTATAATTGTCAATATTTTAAAAACAGTGAACTAATTCAGTCATGTAACAATAGATGGCAGGAGAGATTTCCGTTCACCGGTATTATCAGGCACTGAGGATAGTGGCACCATTTGAAGTCATGCTTACTGAAAGAGATTCGTTTTTAATAGGGAAAGTCTCTTTATACCATTCGTCTCTCAGGACATGACATGAACTTTTAATGCAATGATTGAAATCATTATTTACTTACAAGTACTTTAATATTTCAGTCATATGACTAAATTAGAATTTCTTATTCAGGCCGCTGAAGACAAGGTCAACCACCTGAACAAGGTGAAGGCCAAGCTGGAGCAGACCCTGGATGAGCTTGAGGACTCCCTTGAACGTGAGAAGAAGTTGCGGTAAGTTTCTTCATGCAGTATAGTTAGGTTCTTCTTGGTTTCTTGGGGTGGGGTGAGACTGAGTCCACTTGGTATTTCGACCACTACTGGCCTATTGTTCCAGCCCCGGATGATAGATGATGAGTGTGGAGCAGTCAGTGGAATGAGAATTGGCAAGCGAAACCGAAGTACTCGAAGAAAACCTACCCCAGTGCCACTTTGTCCTCCACAAATCCCACACAACCTTATCTGGGCTCGAACACGGGCCGCCGCGGTGGGAAGCTGGCGTCTAACCTCCTGACCCATGGCACGGCCTAGAAGTTCCTCCATACATGTACATTATATTTCAAACATTCTTTTATTTTACATAAGTTGAAAATACTTTGTAATTAGAGAAAAATCCATGGACCAATTACACTTCATGGCCCAGGGTTGTTTCAATTTACCCACCAGAAAATTATAATTAAATCTATGGAATATAAAATATATATAATGGTCTAATTTATGTATCTGTGAAGAGTAGATTCTGAAAGGTTCTAACGATGGTGTATAACACTCAGAATTACTGGGTTTTCGGACTTTGTCCATCGTCCAGTATTCTAAGAACTAGAATACTCAACGTTTCGGAAACTGGATCTGTTTCTGCCCTCAGGTGAGTGGGAGGCAACTACTCTGTTGGGTCTCTTAGAAAGAGCTAACCTCAATCACTGGACCCCCTTCTCAGATCCAGTTTTCGAAAAGTTGTGTCTTCTACTCGTACTTTTTATAAAACAGAATGATGGGAAAAGTCCGAAAACCTAGCAATTTTAACTGTGAGGACATTTTCCATTGAGATTTTAAAGATTATTACACTGTTACTTACAATCCATAAAGTAATCTCACACCACAAACTTACCATAGTTATTTACTTACTTTCTGACACATTGAATTTGTTTTTAAAATTCTGAATTACAATGAAGTAGGATAAAAATAGTATCTGTTTCAAAAACTTATACATGTATATAAGCATTGGGACTGCCAGCATTTTTCTCAGGCAGGGGTATCCATTTTTCCAAGAAGAGGGGCAAATAGAAAAATGATTACAAATTTATATTTAAGCCGTTTAAGATCAATTTTACTGTTACTCAGGAGACAATAATATTTTTAAAATCAATTTTAATTTTTGGTATTAATATTTTCTATATTTTCTTCATGCTTTTTTTTATATTTCCCCAAAATCCGGAGAGATACATATGCCTGGCTTGGTTTTCCCCAGCGGCGTCCACATATACCAGAATAGATGTTAGCATCATTGAGGAAAATCAGATACCCCCCTACTAGCAAACTATGGGTGCGATATTCTATGCATTCACACTGCGCAGGCCTGGATCCACGATAGACAATTTCTCCATGTTGATTACGTTTTGTGTGCAGTGGTGATGTTGAAAAGGCCAAGCGAAAAGTTGAGGGTGACCTGAAGTTGACGCAGGAGGCTGTGTCCGACCTTGAGCGCAACAAGAAGGAACTTGAGCAGACAATCCAGCGCAAGGACAAGGAGATCTCTTCCCTGGCTGCCAAGCTTGAGGATGAACAGTCCCTTGTGGCCAAGCTGCAAAAGCAGATCAAGGAACTGCAGGTACAAACTCTTCTTGGTCCATTAATTTTATTAACTCTGTATTAACTATCCGTGTATTTTTATTTATTTTACTGAGTATGAATCTATACACTTAAGAGTAACATCTGAAATACACTGACTGGAATATTTACGAAATATTTCTATATTTTCTATAGGCCCGCATTGAAGAGCTCGAAGAAGAACTCGAAGCTGAACGCCAAGCGAGAGCCAAGGTAAGGAAGAAATCTTATTGCTACAGTGATGAATTATTACTACAGAGCGGCCCAAAAAATGCGAGGGACTCAAAAATACGCGTACACATTTTAGTAGAGATTATCTGCAGATATTTTCAAAGGTGAACCGAAATATAATGTACAGTGTGTGGTGTAATATTCTCTCAAAAGATGGCGTTAGTCATATAAATGTCAGAGCCATTTTATCGAATGGCAGGACAGTCAAAGAAAATGGCGGCGGGACTGTGTGTATACAATTTTTGGCCCCTCTGTACAAACGCACAAAAAAAAACATTAAATGTCATTTAATATTTCGGTTTGTAAATGGTAACTGAAATTTTGATTACGACTTAAGTATTGTGTTTGATGGCGTTCTTAGATCATTGTATTTTAAAAGAAAATATCTACTTTATCAATTAGCATTAGATTATAAAATAAAGACGAATAATATGGACTACTATTTATCACGCATGGGAGAAACCAGAAATGTACAGAAAAATTTAGTTCGAATATATGAAGGGAGGGGGTACACGGTAGCGTAGTTGGTTGAGGCTCTATGCTACAAGCTACAAGCGGGTTCAAGTCCCGATGAGTCATTGGATATTTTTCAATTGACCTAATCCTTCCGGCTGCACTATGGCCCTGGGGTTCACTCAGCCCCTAACAGAAATGAGTACCAGGAATTAATTAAATAATTTTCCTGGGGAGTAAGGCGCGGCCGACGCGCAAGGCTGACAACTTTACCGCCAATTTTGAGCCGATTGTCTAGATAATGTGAGACCCTCGACGTTTCACAACCCTATGGGCCTTCACGGCCTGTTACAGGGATAGCTTTACTTTTACTTTTATATATGAAGGGATGACACCATTTCTGACATACAGACGTAGATGTTAAATAATTTTAAAATGGGTTTGAACATGTCGACTGGATCTAGCTGAATCAGGATATGGCCCAGAGGTAGGTTCTTGTGAACAGGTATAGAATTTTCAAGTTCCATATAAGGTGAGAAATTACTTGAATATACGAAGATTCCAGAAAGAAGTCCCTTCTACGTCTCTCTCTAATTGCTAATATTGCCCTCTCTATTGTGCTGCAGTTTTTTGTCTACAAATTCTATTAATTCGAATGTTAGTAATGCTTATCTTCATTAGCGACAAGTGATTTTGGTTGGTTCACGTAACCAGAAGGAACTGAAGTGGAATAGAGCAATAAGTAGGCACTCGTCAACCCCAACATATGTGGAACTTGTTTCCATGGTCGCAGTATAACCTAACGACTACTCGCTTCTCAAGAAGATCTGTACTCCTTGGAATTAATACAATTCTGGACATCATCCATCGTCCTGTTCTTATTAAAGACACCGTCCTGCCTTTACTTCAAACACAACGTGCCGGAGACTGGATTTTGTTCCGTCTTCGGGTAAAACCTACTCAGTTGGGCCCTATCGATAGAGTTAGTCCCTTAGAATTAGATTCTTTTCAGAACGACATCGTTGGCCTGAAGGAGTGTCTGAGTTGTGTTTTGTTTGGCGCAGGCCGAGAAGCAGCGCTCAGACCTCGCCCGAGAACTTGAGGAGCTGGGAGAACGTCTTGAGGAGGCTGGAGGCGCCACCTCAGCCCAGATCGAACTGAACAAGAAGCGAGAGGCTGAGCTTGCCAAGCTGCGCCGAGACCTGGAGGAGGCCAACATCCAGCATGAGGGTACTCTGGCCAACTTGCGCAAGAAGCACAATGACGCCGTGGCCGAGATGGGAGAGCAGATCGACCAGCTGAATAAACTGAAGGCCAAGTAAGTCGCATCCAGAAAACAAAATGTCTGCGATTATTTGGGAGTACTACTCATTTTTTGTAGAAGTGGTCAATCTTTACAGATTGTGCACTATTAAGGAAATGAATTGTTTTTATGATTGTCAAGTAAGAGAATATAGGATGGGTCGAATATATAGCACGCATGGGAGATATGACAACTGTATACAATATTCTGTGAGGCAACCTCAAGGGAAGAGACCATTTGAGATATCTAAGCATAGATGGTAGGATAATATACAAATGTATGTTAACAAATTGATTGTGAAGGTGTATGGTGGTTTATTGCACGATGATATCAGTATCTCAGACTATATAGTCATGAATGGAAGGGTGATCGGTGATTAATGAATTAGAACGGGTTTGGATGGAGGCGATTTTACCTAATATGTCATATCTCGGTATTTGGAGGGACTCTGAAAAACCATGGAAGGAGCGAGTATGATAGCTGATGTCCCTCTCGTGCAAATCCAGAGCATTGCTGCTACTTCAGCACGCCAGCCTGCTTGATATGACAAAGTAAATTAGATTAAACTGGCTTAAGACATGGGCTAGTGACGGGCTAGTGTGAGCACTGAAATAAACCAAAAAGTTTCGTAAAGAGCAGGACATTTCTTGATCAGATGATAAAGTATTAACTTCTAAAGAAGTAACTTGTACTGTGAAATTAGTTCAAGGTTAATTTCATTATGAAATTTCGGAATTAGACTCCGATAGGTAAAGCAACTATGTTTCTGTACTGATCAGGCTTGTTACAATTGATCGTAATATCCATCTTTTCTTTCAGAAATGTATTTGAGACAAATAAGTTTAGAATTAAATTTGGTACAGCTCTTCATGTAAGTCTAGTATTGATATTTATAATTAAAATTGTCTGTTCATTACAATGTTATTTCCTCGACCGAAAATTCAACACCGTGTTCGAATGAAACCTGTGAGATTTCTTATAGTTCACTCATTATTAATTAAATATGAGTGAATTCTGAGCAACAGAGTAATTACCCGAGTGAACGCTGGGGTCAGGGGCTACAATCGCACCCCCCGTGTGTAAATAATCATGTACTTCCAGGATTACTGAATTCTTGAACTTCGTCGATGGTCTTATATTCTATAGAACACAAAGTTTCGGAAATTTAATCTGCTTCCGTCCTCAGGTGAGGGGGTGGGAGACATCTACTCTGTTGCGTCTGTTAGACAAATAAAACCTTACTCACTTGAATCCCTTTACAACTGAATTATGTATCTTGACATGAATCATATTCACTGTCACAACGAAACTTGAGAGGAATTTCCAGGGTTTATGTCCCATGCAGATCAAATTATTTCAGTTTAAGGGCTGTAGCAAATTATTCCCAAAAAACGTAAAAAAAAGGTAAAGCTATCCCTGTAACAGGCCGTGGAGGCCCATAGGGTTGTGAGACGTCGAGGCTCTCACATTTTTCTACACAATCGGCTCACAGATGGCGGTGAGGTTGTCGGCCTTACGCGCCGGCCGCCCCTTACCCCCAGGAAGATTCCTGGTACTCATTTCTGTTAGAGGCTGAGTCAACCCCAGGGCCTAAGTGCTGCCGGAAGGATTAAGTAAATTAAAAAAAATGCACCTAATTGGGAATGGAACCCGTGACCATCCGGCTTATAGCTTAGTGCCTCAACCAAGTACGGTAACGCGTGCCCCAAAGTTATTCCTAAGGTTATGTCATTTCCACAAATATGGCAGAACAGCGCTAGAAAAATGATATACCCAACACCAGTCAAGTGTGTGAAAATGTTGTCCCTGTGCTTAACTTATTAAGCATTGCGCCATGAAGACGCATGGGAGAGTTAATGGGTCGACCCAAGATCCAGTCTGGACCGGTCTGGACGATGTGGAGAGGGGAAACATTTTGTCCCTGTGGGGACTCGAACTACGACCCTTAGCCAGTCGCTATACCGACTGCTCTATCCCAGCTCCCAATCAAGCGTATAGGCCCAAAAGCGAAGTTTAACCTTATAATTGAGATGTTTTTTTTGTTTTTGTTTTGTTTTTTCAAATACTGGTGCGTCTGTTTACGAGTATAGCCTATTTGGGATTGGCAGTGACAGTTTTAAAACCTCCTCTAAAATACATTAGCATGAGGAGGCTGGAAGGCGCAGGTGAAAATTTGAAAATGATTTAATTCTGCAGGGCCGAGCACGATCGCTCCTCTGTTTACAATGAGCTGAACAACGTCCGTGGTGCTATCGATGGTCTGGCTCGCGATAAGGTAAAATGTGGCATCTTGTATCCCTTGTCCACAGGTTGCGGCAGCATGACTGTGTCCCTTGTTCTGCGTCTGTTCTTTGTAGGTTGACTCCGTCATCCGTTTGTGCAGTACACCCTCAACACCCCACCAGTCCCCCACATATCTGGGTTTCTCATTCTTCATCCAAATAATTAAAAATATATGTGCCTTAAATTCGGAGTAAATTGTTTTCCGTGTGTTTCTCTGTTTATTTATATATGTGATAAACGTCATTATGCAAACAAACGATCTGTCGCAATGGTATTTAGGTTAACGTCACACAACACATATACTCGCTTTTTAATGTTCTACAGTTTGACCTTTTATTCCTGCTACATGTTTCGGTCGTACATGACCATCATCAGGCAATTATATACAAGAATACTTAAGTTATTGAACTACCGATATGGATCCATACCAGTGCAAAGTGTCATATTACATAATAATAGAAAATTTATCTACGTTGGCATTTCTTATAAGGCGTAGGTGGGTGGACATTATTCAAATGGATCATGGATAGGATTGTATGGATTGGATTGATCTGGCTTACGATAGGGATCAGTGGAGGGCTCTTGTGAACACGGTAATGAACCTTCGGGTTCCATAAAATGCCGGGAAATTCTTGAGTAGCTGCAGAATTGGCGGCTCCTCAAGAAGGACTCAGCTCCATGAGTAAGTAAGGTATTTCTTATGAATCCGTTTAACCGTTTAAAAGACAGTTGTTACTAGTATATGTACCAATAGCTATAAAATTAAAAAAGTCTGTATTTTACCCAAAAAGTGCACTTGGGTTTCGTATGATTTTTGGAATATACCGCGATAATTTCTACTTAGGCTATTTATCCCAAGTGGGGTAGGGTTTGTCATGATGCTAATCGCCTTGTCGTGTCTATAGAAACCAAATTCAAAACTGCTTTTCGTTAGTTATGATACGATCAGATGTTGGCGGGAAAACGCAACTGTTTCAGTTGGTATTATAATGTCAGAATTCGGTATTACGGCGTCAACCTTCGTCAAAGAAAAAATATATATATATAATCTGAAATTCCAGTTTTGTCGGTGCCTGGTGGGGCGTTTAAGTGGGTCTGCCCCTTAATCAGCAACTGTCACACTGTCTTCTCCCCCCCCCC